ATGACTCTGGCAAGGATATCTGGGGGCTGTGCTGCAGCAGCTCTGAGGGCCCCCGCAAACAGCGTGAGGCCCCTAGAGCCCAACTCCTCCAGCTTTCCCAGCCGCATTAAATAAACTGACTGTCGACAAAATAAATATTCCCAAGTCTGCAGCGCCCCGAGGGTGCCCCCCCGCAGCTGTACAGACAGCGCAGCAGCCCGCCACTCGCAGGCCAGCAGCGGCAGCCCGTCAGTGCCCCCCACGGCGAAACTCGCGTCCCCCACTGCTGCTGCTGCTGCTCCTGCTGCTGCTGCTCCTGCTGGGTGGCGAGGCAGGGACTGCAGAGAGGGGCCCTCCCACGCGTCGAGGACTCGCAGGGCGTCGCTGTATCGGCCGCATTTCCCTAGGAGGCAGGCGAGCGTGTCTCTGGCAGCCAAGACGCTTGCGGACAACACCTGCTGCTGCTGCTGCTGCTGCTGCTGGAACTGCTGCTGCATCCGCTGCACTGCGTCCTCAGCGAGCATGATGCGGTACTCTACCGCGTTTGTGAGCGCCTCGCGGAGCCGCTGGAAGAAAGCCTACAGAGCAGAGGAGACAGAGGCAAAAGCCCGCAGCAGCTGGAACTCCTTTCCCTTAGTTTTTATTTCCAGAATTAATTTGAAGAAATAGACTCAATTCAACAACACCATTTATTAAAATATATTCAGACAATAGAGAAAGACTCAGAGGCCCCGCGCAGCAGCCTCAGCCCAGAGAGCAGCGGCTCCCAGCAGTGGCAAAACAAAGACACTCCAGAAGGAGAAAAGGGGAAACATAGAAGGGAAAAAGGAAATTCAAAGACCCTAATCCCTAGATTTGAATGAAGAAAAGAGGAGGAGGCATGGCCAGGGGAAGGAAAGCATAAAGAAAAGGGAAAAAGGGGGGAAAATGGGGAAAAATGGAGAAAAAAATGAAGAAAAGATCTTCTCACCGCCCAGAGCTGCTCCGCAAGGGCGCTGTTGCTGGGATCGATCGATCCCAGAGGCAGCCGGAGGACTCTGTCTTTGCTGCCTAGGTCTGCGCGGATTTTTTCGATGAATTTCTTTTGCTGCTTCACCACTGCTTCGTTGCTGCTGCAGGCAGCAGCAGCAACAACCAGCCACTCCTCGTGCTGCTCCAGCAGCCGCTCACTCCAGATCCGCAGCAGCCGCCGCTGCTGCTGTCGGTACACCTCAATGCTGTCGTACTGCAGCAGCAGCAGGTGCACGAAGGGCCTCTCTGCTGCTGTCCACACGAGGCTGGGCGACTCCGCTGCTGCTGCTGCTGCTGCGGGCGTCACGGGAGCAGCAGCAGCAGCAGCCAGCGAAGCAGCAGCAACACTCACTCCCAGCGAAGCCAGGGCCCCAGCAGCTGCCTTTTGAGCCACTGAAAAGGCAGCAGGGGGCCCCTGGGCTGGCGGCGGGGGGGCCCCAGACACAAAGGCAGACTGCGCAACAAAAGACAAGTTTACTGCGCTGCTGCTGCATGCAGCAGCAGCAGCAGCAGCACTGCCCCCTCCATAAACTCCCCGCAGCAAAAGCGGCTCCAGAGGCAAACGCTCCTCTATAGATGGCCGCAGGAGAGGCCAAATGTCGTTTTCATCTATAAACCAACGCACTCAAACCCCCAAGGCCCTCAAACCCTAAGCCCTAAACCCTAAACCCCAGGAAAGTGGTCAGCCACTGTGACGCATCGAACCTTTGCCCTAAGCCCTAAACCCTACAACTAGGTGAAGAGCCATTGTGCGGCCTCAAACCCTGAATTCTAAACCGTCAACCCAAAGCCCTAAAACCCAAATCCTAAACCCTAAACCCTAAATCCTAAACCCTAAACCCCAAACCCTAGTCTTACACCCTTGTGTAAGTAGCCACGGCTGAAGCATGAGGGTTACAGTCCTCACCGTAATACGAAATAGGAAAGGCATCTCTCTGAGCCATTGTGGCAGCAGCAGGAGGAGAGACAGAAGGCGCAGCAAAAAGGGAACATTGAGGCCACCGCAGTCGCGGCCCTTGCTGCTGCTGCTGCTGTAACCGCCGCTGCTGCTGCTGCTGCTCTTCCTGCTGCTGTGCTTCACGCAGAGCCCCTACAAGGGGCTGCGCTTGCCTCCAGGCATGCGTCCCCTAAAGTATTCGTCGGCAGGGGCAGGTAGCGCTGCGTTGCTGGATCTGCTGCTATGCTGCTGCTGCAGCAGCAACAGCAGCAGCAAGAGCAGTAACTGCTGCTGCTGTGTCCTACACGCAGTCCTCCCCACTCCTTTTCGTCCAGGGCTTGCGTTTGTCCCTGCGAGCTGCCCTAACTGCTCGTGGAGAGCGACGGCTGCAGCAGCAGCAGCAGCAGCTGCAGCAGCTGCTGCAGCGGCACCTCCTGAGGGCAACTGCACGGGACGCCTGCTGCAGGAGAACCAGAGGCCCTTAAGGATCAACGGGGCCCCCCAGCCTCTCAGCTGGCTTTGTCTCAGTGAAATTTCTGCAGTCAAAGCCCATGGTGGCGGAGCTGCTGCGGCGCGACTGAGACAGCAGGTGTCTGTACACTTCGGAAAGGGCACAGGCTGCAACAGAGACAGCAGCAATCAAAAAGAAGCACGGACTGTCCCTTTCCAGCCCCGTTAAGACCGCACACCGCGCATGCAATGGTGAGCAGCAGCAGCAGCAGCAGCGGCGGCAGCGACCATGAGCAGCGACCATCAGCTGCTGCTCCAGGAGCCGCTGCTGCTCACAGATACTGGGCAAGCAGCTTATGTTAGCAGTTTTGCAATGAATGTCTCTACTCCTATCTTAAACGACCTGAGCGCTTGCTGTGAGTAAACACGTGCACACATTGGCTACTATTCACCAGTTGCAGCAGCAGCAGCGGTAGCAGCAGCAGCAGCAGCAGCAGCAGCAGCGCCAGCAGAAAGGTTATGCTGAGAGTTGCACTGATGCATGTGCTTCTCGAGTGCTGTTGCTGCTGTTTCCTGGAGTAAATCCAAATTTTTCATTTACTGCGACTGCGAGCGCCTCGTGGTGGCTGCTCAGGTGTACATACACCTGGAGCAGCACCAGCAGCACCAGCATTGAATTGCACGCCACCGCCGCCGCCTGTCTTCCCTTTTTTTCTGTGTTTCTTGTTTGTTTGGATCTTATTTGCGTTCCAAAGTAGTAAAGCTACTTTGTTTCCTCCCGTTAGTTTCTCATGGCCGTCTGCTGGCGCTCCCAGAGGTGCACGCAAACCACAGCAGCTCAACTACGCCGCCGCTGGAGCATCGGGCTGCCTGCGTGTCGCCAACGGGTCTTGTTGTCTCAGAGGGTTTCACCTTCGAATTTACATTTTCAAGTTGCTGCGCTGCAGCACCTGGAACGGTTCATTTCTGCTGCTGCTGCTGCTCGCTACTGCTGCTGGCTTGCTGCCACTGAAGCCGCGGGTGCTGCTGCCGTAGCTGGGGAGCCAACAGACCAAAATGAAGGCAGAGGCTGAAGTGAACACAACTTCAGCCATGGAGCTGTCCCGCGAGGGCCTCCTGGGGGCCCCCCAGGGGGCCCCAGACGCAGGACTTCCCTCCACAGGGCCCCGGATGGGGGGGCCCCACTTGCGGCGCCCCCATCCCACGGAAGGCAAGGCCTGGAGCAGCCCCGCTGCGGTGGCTCCAGTAACTCTGATAGCAAAGAACTTCTGCTACGCAATTCGGACTCGGCGGGACCTTTCGGGTTCGCTGCGCAGCCTGTGTTGCAGCAGCCTATGCTGCAGCAGCAGCAGCAGCAGCAGCAAGTCGGCGCCGCTGCAGCTCGAGGAGGGCGAGCTTTCCGGGCCCCACGGGGGGCTCTCCACGGCCCAGAGCAGCGGCAGGCAGTGCAGCAGCAACAGCAGCAGCAGCAGCAGCAGCAACACAGGCCTCAACGTCATTCTTAAGGATATTAACCTCTGCGTCCGCCCAGGCTCTATGCTGGTTATTATGGGCCCCAGTGGCTCCGGCAAAACCACTCTGCTGAATGCCCTGGCAGGTGCGGCTGGGGTGGCTTTAGGGTTTAGCCCTAGGGTTTAGCCAAACCCTAAACTCTAAACCCTAGAGCGGCTGCAGCGGCACCAGGGGCCGCCGCTGCCTGTGCTGCAGCAGATGCAGCGTAACTGCTGCTGTTGACTCTGCGGCTGCTGCTGCTTCAAACGCTGCTGCTATTCCGGATGCTAATGCGGCTTCGCCAGTTCTCTTGTGCTGCTGCTACTGCTGCTGCTTCGAATGTTGCTGCTGCTGCTGCTGCTGCTGCTGCTGCAGGCCGCTCTAAAGCTTCTTCGCGAGTATTAATATCCGGAACTTTGGTCTACCGGGGGGCCCCTGCGGGTTCTCCTTTGTCCTCTTTTTCGACTTATATAATGCAGGTGACCTGCCACTTTTAATTATATTTTTTACTCCTTTTGTTTTTATTTCTCGGAAATGCTTCATTTCGAGCTGCCTCTACACAGATAACTCTGTCTTGGGGACGTGTGGGGCGGCCTGCAGCAGCTGCGGCTTCTTTTTTTGTCTCCGTCTCTTTCTTATTTGCTGCATGTTTTTATATTCTGAAGTCTGAAGGCATCTTGTCTCTACTTCCGCCGTCGCTGCTTGCTGCATCTGCCTCTGCTCGTTTGCTGCTGCGGCTCCCCCGGTGTCTCTTTTTTCTCTATTCTTGGTGCCTTCCTGTGTGGCTCCAGCGTGCCTTACTGCTGCTTCTGCTGCACTTGCTGCTGCTGCAGTTTCTGCTGCGGGGCGCAGCGGTAGGGGTGCTCTTGACGGGCCAGTTTGCTGCTATTTGCCTTTGAGTCTGCGGGCGTCTTGTTGCTGCATGTTCCTCCCCCTGCTGGAAATTTAATTCTCCTTTTCTGCTTTTTTATCTTTTAATCTTTTTTTGATTTTTCCCCACTATGCGCTTCTGGGGTGTATGTACAGAAAGACATTCTACCCTCATATGTCACCGTTTGGGAATATCTTTCTTATTTCGCCGCTTTGAAGCTGCCGGGCGTTTCTAGACAGGTGAGGAGTCTTTGTTTGCTGCTCGCTGCTGCTGCTACGTGTTTGCTGCTGCTTGCTGCTGCCTTGTTGCTTCTGGGGACTCTTGAACAGTACAGAGCCGCCGGTTTGCAAGCAGCGCTTTTGGCTGGCCCACAAAAGAGGGAATTTAGCTTTTGTCCCCTCCTTGTTGAAAGCAGATTCCAATTCAAATGTTAAAAGCAAAATTAGTAACTAAGTACCTTTTATAAAAGGCCCTAGGGCTCAGAGATGTCTGCTGCTGCTGCTTGTTCTCGTTTCCGCCTGCTGCTGCCTTTCTTCGCCCCCTTCGCCCAGCGCAGCTTTCTGTTCTCTTTAGTGCTTGATCTCGACTGTTATTTGTGCAGCTGTCAAAAATGGCAAATAAATATGTAAAATTTAATAATTTGCATTTATAAAAGTGCTGCATTTGCAGAAACGACGCTTTTGCTGCTGCTGCTGCTGCTGCAGGAAAGGGAACAGCGCATGAAAGAGGTGCTGCAGTCCATGAATTTGTACCACTGTCGAGACACCCGAATTGGCGGCTCCGAGCGCAAGGGCCTCAGCGGCGGCGAAATGAAAAGAGTTGCTTTGGCGGTGGAGCTGCTGAATAACCCTTCTCTTATTTTCTTGGGTAAACCAAATAGAATGCAATTCCAGTAAATAATCATTAGACCATTTCCTCGGTTTCTAAACAGCCTCGGCTGCAGCTGCTTCTGGGCGCGTCAGCAGCTTCTGTCCGGCTCAAATCCTGAGCCTGCAGCACCAAAACCTGATGCTGCTGCTGCTACCGCTGCTGCTGCTGCTGCTGCTGCATGCAGATGAGCCTACGTCAGGGCTAGATGCTGCGCTGGCCTTCGACACGATGCGGCTGCTGCTGCGCCTGGCGCGGACGGGGGGCCGCACAGTTGTCTGTACAGTGCACCAGCCTCGGTCTCAGGTGAGTTTCTTTGTTGGTGGTCTTTTCTTTTTTTTCACCTTTTGGACTTTAACCCTAAGGCCAAACTAGCTTAACCTGAGCAACAGCAACAGCACTTCTCTTGTGGTGTCCATCACCTTTATGTAGTTCTCTTGCTTTCCTCTTGGTGCGAAAGCTCCGGGCACTGCCTGCATCGCCAAGCGGGGCCCTCAGCAGCGGAGCAGCAGCCAATGCAGCAGCAGCTAATGCAGCAGCAGCCAGCACAGCAGCACCCAGCGCAGCAGCACCCAGCACAGCAGCACCCAGCACAGCAGCAGCTGGTGCAGCAGCAGCCAGCACAGCAGCAGCCAGTGCAGGAGCAGCCAGTGCTGCAGCAGCCAGCGCAGCAGCAGCACTCCCTCTCTGCCGTTTAGGCCAAAGCGCTGAAGCCACAGAGCGGTGGTGTGTGTCTGTGCTGCAGCTGTTTGCCATGTTTGATGAACTGATGCTGCTGCACCGGGGGCAAATAGTGTTTCAAGGGCCAGCGACGCAGTGCAGCAGCTACTTCGCGCGGCTGGGGCTGCGGTGCCCCCCGCGGTTTAACCCCGCAGACTTTTTGCTGGACCTGCTTACAGTGCGCAGCGAGCCGCAGGAGGAGCAGCAGCAGTCTACGGGGGGCCCTGTGGGGGAGCAGCTGCTGACGCTGCCGTCCTGCAGCAGCCAGCACCCGAAGCAGCAGCAAGAGCAGCAACAGCATGCCGCGCAGCAGCAGCAGCAGCAGCGGCGGGAAGCGGAGATGGAGGAAGAGCTGGCAGAGGGGGGCATCATGGGGCCCCTGGAACACAGGCCCCTGGGCAGGGAAGAAAGCGCTGCACACATTCTTATGGAAGCAGCAGACACAGAAGAGGCCCAGGGGCCTCAGCTTTCGCACTTCGAGTCCCACATGGTTCGCGTCACAGTCACTCAAGAAGAAGTTGACCGCCTCCCCGCCTTCTACCAGGCCTCTCCTCTCTGTGCTGCTGTTGCTGCTCGCATTGACCAGGAGCTGCAGCAGCCCAAAGACAAGCAGGTCTACAAGGGCCTGCAGCAGCGCCTGCAGGCCCACAGAGCCTTCTTGTAAGATAAGCCCAAACCCCCGCAGAGGCCCCACTTTTCTGCCTGGCCGCCAGCGGCGTGCTCAGACCCTGTGGGACGCAGGGGCCCTACAAGGGGCCCCTGCAGAACTTCTGGTGGTTTTGTCCAGAGTCTTTCTTTATTAGCTCTCAGCCGTGTGCTCTTCTAACCTTTCTCTGGGCTGTTATACATATTTGGCGGCCAAAATGCATGTGTGCATGCATCGGGTGTATAGGTACATTGGCATTTGAAGCGGGACTCGAAGTATGCACTATTTGCACACTATATAATACAATGGAGATTCATTCTGTCATACATATATGAGGGCCAAAATTCATGTATGCATGTATTACATATATGTGTTTATTAACATATAAGCCGATAATCAAAATATATATTGCGTGCATACTACAAAAGAAAATATAAAGGTGTATATATACATGAACACTATATATTCGTGAGAGTGCTGTCTCGCACAATATATATATATAATATCTATAAATATATGCACATACTACATAGGATGTATGTGGTCGTGCTGTCTCGTATAATACAATATATATATGTATACTATATAATATATATGCTCTGTAATGTGATACTGTATAGTATGTATGTCGGTGTGCTGGCTTCCTTTGTGCGGCCTCAGGAGCCGCTGGGTAACGGAGTTTCTGGTGATCATGCGGATGACGGCGGTGAACTTCGTGCGAAATCCGCTGGTGACAATTGTGCAGCTGCTGCTGAACACTCTTCTCGGCTTCATTGTGGGTGAGGCAGTCCAGCAGCAACAAATGCCCACAAAGCCTGCAGAAGGCTCCAGCAGCAGCCGACCGCTGCAGCAAGCGGTCGCAGCAGCTTGCTGCAGCGGTCGCAGTAGCTTGCTGTAGCGGTTGCAGCAGCCTGCTGCAGCGGTCGCAGCAGCTTGCCGCGACTGGTGCAGCAGCCTACTGCAGCGAGCGCAGCATCTTGCTGCAGCACCTTGCTGCAGCGGGCGCAGCAGCAAGTGCAGACGCAGCCTAGCGCCGCCGCAGGGCTGCAGTGTCAGCAGCAGCACTGCGGCAGAAAAGTGTACTGGCGTCTGTCTTCAGTTGTAACAAGCCTTTTTTGTTTCTTTCTGGCTTTGTTTTTTCCAGGTGCTATATTCTGGAAGGTGCCCGAGAGCGGCCCCTTAGAAATAGCAGCGCGCAACATGCTGGGGTGTATCTTCTTTCTCGCCACGCACATTGTTTTTGCCCCGCTTGACTGTCTGTCACTTTTTGCTGAAGACCGCGAGCTTTTCAACAGGTGGGGATGCTGAAGTGTGGCTGTGGGCTGCGCTGTCTAGCTAGCTAGCTGGCCAGCTAGCTAGCCATCTAGCTGACTAGCTATCCAGCTAGCTAGCCAGCTAGTCTGCCCATATCTAGACATTCAGTGGCCAGGAACAGGCGGCGGTCAGAAGGGCTGCAGAAGATGCACTCTTAAGCTGCGCTTCTGTATTTGTTTCTGCTGCTGCTGCTGCTGCTATGTAGAGACACCGCAAATGGAACTTATACCCCATTCGCGTACTTCATGGCCAAGTCGCTCGCGTCTATGCCTTTCCAGCATTTGCCTCTCACGGCTGTTCTTGTTATATCTTACTGGATGTCGGGTGAGTCTCACGGCCGTTGCTCTGTGGTGTACGTACACACTCCGAGGTGTACGCAGACTCTCTGAGGTGTACGTACGCCTCGCCCCACGTCTCCCCACGGCAGCTGGGCTTGAGAGATGCCACCTAGCTGCTAGCTAGCTGATAATTAGGCTAGTTTCTAGCTAGCTGATAGTTAAGCTAGCTGCTAGCTAGCTAAGTGCCGCGGTATCCAGCAGCGGCTTTGCTGCACAGGCAGCAGGCGGCCAGCCAAGCTGCTGCTCCGTGTCAGTGCCATTACACGTCTTTTCTTGCGGCTGCAATCGAGAAGGTTAAATATGTTTAGACTAGCCCATTTCTCCCTTTAGGCTGGATCTTTTTTGTTAGTATCGTTTTGCATGGCTATCTGCTGTGCACGGCGTTTGCTCTGTGTCTTTCAGGCATGTCAGCTGATTTTGTTCGTTTTGTGTTGTACTTGGTGATTGCCCAGTTGTCCATTTTCGCCTCGACTTCTTTCCTTTTCTTCGCGGCCTCCATTTGTGAGCTGCTGAATCCGTGGCTGTTGGGGTTGCAGTGTACAGACACCTCAACTCACAGCGCAGTGCTCAAGCAAGAACTCCAGCAGCCTTCAGTAGTTGCCAGGCCTTGTGTTGCTGCTGCTGTTGCTGGGTGCACGCACACAGCGACAGGTCGAGAGCCTCATTTTGCTGCTGCTGCTGTTGCTGCTGGATCTGCAGCCCCGAGGCTGTCGGTTGCGCAGAGTTTTTCTCCGGTGGTGCTCGTTGTGATTCTCCTCGTTTGCGGGTTCTACATCCGCGAGCAAGACATCCCAGTGAGTCCTTGACTCCCTGCTGCTGCCAGGAAAACAGCTGCAGCGGGAGCAGCATTTGCTGCTTTTTTCGGCTGCAGCAGCAGCTGCAGCAGCAAACGGAACGAAATGGGGTGCTGAGCGGGGTTGGTTTGACTTGTTTGTGTTGCTTTTTTGTGGCTTTTTCTGCTGCTACGCAGTCGTGGATCCGCTGGCTGAAGTACATTTCCTTCATTCACTACCCTTATTTGTGTTTCACGGCGAACGAGTTCAACAACAACCCCACCTGGGAAGGCCTGCCTCCGGAGTTCCTGTCAGTGTCTGGGGGCCTCAGCGACACGCGACTGGGGCCCAACTTGGCCATTTTGGCGGCCATAGCGTTTGTGCTGCGCGCGATGGCCTTCATAGGCTTGAAGTACTGCAACAGGCGAATAGGCTTGGAGTGCTAGCTGCAAGTAGTTAGAAGAATAGCTCATGTGTGGGCCACTCGGGCGCACCCGCGGGCGCCCGCGGTGCGCACAGCAGCTAAATAATCCATTCAATAAATACAATAAACTCTTTTCACCCCGGAAATGGCTCCCCTCGCAACAGAGGGAGTTGCCTCTGCTTCGGTTGCTGGCCTGGGGCCCCCATCTGCCCAGCCGCAGCCAGAGCCAAAGAAGGGGCACTGGGTCCGCATAGTTAGGCACCAAGGCAGGCTAGAGGGCCTCTCTTACTCTCCCATTTCGTATGGTGTTTTTTGTTTCAACTTTGGCTGTGTTTTTGTTGTGCTGGGCAAGCCGTGGCCCCTGGCTTCCTACAGCTAGCTGCTCAGCAGCCCTTGCTAGCCAGAACGCAGCTTCAGCTAGCCGTGGCGGCATACGGGCATTAGATCCGGCTAGCTAAGTAACTGGCGAGCGCTGAATTAAGCACTGGGGGAGGCTTTGGCCTCCCAGCTAAGTATTTAAACTAATTAGGAACGGGTGCATTGGCGTTGAAGTTGAATAGTTGAAGTTATGTAATAACGGGAGCTTTGGCCTCAAGTTTAGCAGTTAGGGTAGTAATGGAGGCTTTGACCTTGAAGCAAAGTGGTTGAAGTCAAGTAGTAACTGGGGCTTTGCCCTTAAAGTCAGGTGACTAAAATTAAGTAATAACAGGGGCTTTGGCCTGGAGCTATGCACTAAAGCAGTCTCTTGCCTTAAGAAAAAACTGCAGGGAGGCTTTACCTTTAAGAATTTAGTATTGGAGGAGGGTTGGCCCTTGAAACAAAGGATTGAGAGGGCTTTGGGCTTTGGACTTTGGTTTCAAGATTGGGATCCAGAAGGGCTTCGACCTCAAAATTAGAATTGAGAAGGGCTTCGGCCTTGTAAGTTAAGCATTGAGAGGGGTTTAAGCACTGAGAGGGGCTTTGGCCTTTAATGCCAAGCACTTTGGCTTGAAGCCTAGACCCTAGAGGCCTCTCTATAAAGTTCAGCAGAAGGGCTCTGGCCTCCATAGTTAAGCCTTTAGGGGAGCTGTCGCTTCCATAGTTAGGCATTAAGGAGGGTATTGTCCTCCATAGTTACGCATTAAGAAGGGCTCTGGCCCATGGGCACTGATTGCTGTGCAGCCCTTGTGAGGGTTTGCCTGGGAGAGCCAGTCAGCCACGGTGTTCTGGAGAAAGGAGCGAGGGCTGGGCCGTGGCCAGCCAAAGCCAGCCATGGCTGCTGTGGGGTCTTTTTTGCTGCTTTCTCTTGCGAGGACTTCCCCTATGAGCCTCAGGGCTCCTCTAAAGTATAGAAGTCCAAAAGGGGCGGCCCCAAGGGGAAAGCCTGAGGTGCTGAGCAATGCGTAGCCAGCAGCCACGGCTGGCAAAGACCTGCCACAAAAGGACAAGGTTTGAGGCGTAGTAATGAAGACCCCGAGGGCGCAAGCCAAGACTTAGGGTTCTCTGTTTCTAGAAGTTGTTAACTTTGTGTGTCCTCAGCGACAGCCATTGACACTTATTATTGTTCGCAGCCAAAGTCTGCTGCCCGCAGCTCGCGCTGTGGCTGCTGTGGCTATGCTAGCAGCTACTGTTGCCAGCAATTGCTCTGGCACTGGGGAAAAGCTCTGCAGCGGCTGTGCAACCGCGCAGTCTCTCTCGCTGTTTCTCCCTAGGGCTCAACTAGCTGAGTTGAGTCTATTTAAAGGGAGTTTCCGCTTCGTTGGCTCGTCAGTGCAGGCCAGGAAGCCCTAGGCAGTGTCTTGGGGGCTCTTGCTGGGGCCGGAGCCCAGCAGGCTGGAGGCAGGGGGCAAGACAGAATAGTCGCATGAAGCTCAGTGGCCGCGTTGGCGCATCTTAAGGCCTAATACAGCCTGCTGTGGGGCCCCCGGAAGCCCTGGGGCCCTCGCCGAGCAATGAAACGAATGTGGTCCGGTCCAAACAGACCGTTGGCTGCCTCCCGCTCCCTCTCCCGCCTCGCCCCTGCAACTAAACTCCAATGTGCATGTTCTGTATGCTTAATAGTTGCAAGTATAGGCTTTTGGATGAGGGATATTTCGGATAGCTCGTGCGGGGCTCTAGAGGCCCCGGGCGGTCTCGGGCCCTCGGTGGTTGGGCTGCGCGAGGCTGGCGGCGTCGAGTTTGTTGGGTGGGTGTTGTTGCTTCTGTCTTTCATTAACTTGCGCCCTTTTCCACAGCTTTATATTTAATTCAAGCTTTTATTTTAGCCGTTTTTCTCGCCTGAGAGCCGAGACTTGCCCTTGGTTCCTTCAGCTCACGTAACCTGGCCACAGCCGTCGAGCGCTGTCCCCGCCTGAGCTTTACGCACACTGAAATGAAGCGTACGAAGTCCAAAAAAAACTAGGGGTCCTCCTGCAGCTCAGAGGGCCCCCAACTGTCAACATTTGCAGCAAGAAATGGCGGAAACGGGGGAGGCGGACGCAGGCCAGGGCCCATGGGGAACCCAAACCACAGTCGCCGGGCCTGGGGGCCCTCCCAGCCCTTTCAGGGACCATAAAGCTCCATATATACCCGACGACACCACAAAAGAGCCATCAACTGCGCTCAGGATGGGCTTCACGCAGAATCAGCCCCAAGGGAACCCCTACGGGCTGCGGAGCCTCAAAACGGGGCCCCCGGGAACAAGTAGTGGGCGAAGACAGTCTATTCTGTCGGACTCTGTGGGGGAAGAGGGCGACTATTGGTGCCGGCGCTCCCCTAGGGGGCCCCGGGAGGCCGGGGTCATCTTGGGGCCCCTGGGACTTGAAGACCCAACGCCGTCGGCTTCTGACAACGGGGATGAAGTGGGAGAAGAAGAGGGGGGCCCCGTCGCTGCAGCCTACAGAGTGGCGGCCAAGCTGCGGCGGCTGTCGCTGCGGGCGCGGAGGCTGGCCCAGGAGGAGCTGGGGTCCCCCCGGAGGCTCTCTGGGTCCTCTCCCCGCAGTCCTGCTGCAGCTGAATCCCGCAGCAGCTCAGCGGTGCCACACACAGAGACTTGGAGGGCCCTAGAGGTTCTGTCTCAGGCTCTAGAAGACCTCACGGAAGATGCTGCGCTTGCTGCGACTCACGTGAGGCCTGCCCACACTAGGCCCTAAACCGTAGGGCCGAAAACCCTAAGCCCTAAGGCTGAAGGCCCTTCCGCTGATGCATTTAATCCTAGTCCTGCGCTTTTTTCGACCAAGGAAAGAAAAACTAAAGGGGGAAAAGTGTACCTGCCTCTGCTGCTGTGCAGTCCGACAGATGGAAGTCAGCCGCCTCGAGGCAAAAGCGACAGCTTAACTCCGCTTTAGAAGAAAATGAGCGATTGGTAAGCTTTTTCGGCGGCGCAACAGCCCCTGCTGCTGCCACGAGATGCGCAGCGCAAGCAGTAACGCTGCAACACGAGCTGCAGCAGTTGTCGGAGCAGCGGCTGCAGCATCGGCTGCGGCGTGCAAGAACCGGAAGCAGCAGCAGGGGCCGCACTACCTGCAGCAGCAGCGGCATCCAGAGAAGTACTGAAGTCACTTTTGCCGGCTAGGCTCGTAGCATTGATTCTGTTATTGGGGCTGCTCCGTCTTGCATGTTGTTATTTTCCGTGGCTATACGTGTCCTTGCTGCTGCTGCTGCACGCAGCTTGCCGACAACCAAACTCTCTCAGAAGAGCTAAAGGCAGCGCAGCAAAGGTGTCTGAACAGCGAAGCCGAGTTACAGCAGCTCTCTAAGTACAAGGTCAGCTACCCAAGCCAATCAGTTTTTCAGGCCTCCACTTGCTTGCTTTGTTCCCCTTGCACTGGCCAACAGGCAAAGAAAAGGTCACAAAATAAGAGCCCACAGAGACTTGATGCAACTCAGGGGTCTTCGCTGTAAACGCAAAGTATTCAGTTCTTGCCTTTAGGGCTTTTCCTCTAGAGTGGGGCGCAGGGATTTGGCATTTGGACATGCGTCGGTGTTTGCAGAACTACCAAGCCAAGTTCTTTGCGTGCCAGAGCCAAGTGGCTCAGCTGCAGTTTGAAATGGAAACGCTGCGACGGGGCTTCGAAGCCCTGGAAGCAGCGCATGCAACGCAAGAAGAAGAACTCAAGAAAACAACGGAGACCGCAGCCCTTCTGCGGCAAAGACTGCGAGCTGCATGCGAAGAGGTCAGAGCACAGAGTTAGGAGTAGGGGCACTAAGAGACGCAGGGACAGAGGCACTTAGTGAAGGCAGGGGCAGCAAGACGCGCGCGTAGAACCCCCAACTATAGCAGTATATATTCAGAACTAGGGGCTTTTTGGAAGAGGCTGTGGACCTTCAGAGCCTTCCATGCACCATTAAGCAAGTCATCTGCTGCGCTGTGTCTCCTGCAGCTGGCGCAAACCAAGGAGGCTCTGTCTAGGCAGCTGGCTTCTTCCCAGCGTGTGGTGAGCTCTTGCATGCGAAAGCGACAGAAACGCATTCGCGTGCTTCCGTGTTTGCTTGCCTTGCATCCGAGCATTACACAAAGTGCTTTGCTATCTCTCTGCTGTTAGATTTCCTTCCTGCTGCTGCTGCTGTTTCTGCTGCTTTCGCTGCAGCAGTCAGACACGTGCAGCTCCGCAGCGAACCCCCCTCCCCTGGATCGGCCTGCAGCCGCTCATCGAGGGCTGGGGTCTATGCCGAGGAGCCCCGAGTCCACTTTGCGGTGGGGGATCTCCCGGGGATATCCACCATCGAGCGAAGGAAGTCACCGAAGAGACTGTGACGGCCCCCGCGTCTTCCGGGGGCAAACGTGGTGTGCAAGCGGGGGCCTGAGAGGGTCTTCTCTCAGGCAGACCCTGAGGGCCTCCTTGTCGCAAGACCAACAGCAGAAGCGGCAGCAGCAGCAGCAGCAGCAGCAGCGGCTGTCGCGACTCTCCTCAGACCTCACCCCACAAGCCCCATCAGGCCCAGAAGAGTGGCACTTGATGCGCTTTATCCAGTCAGAGGGTGCCCGAAGCACTGGGGCGTCGGCCTCGATTCGGCCAGCAGCAGTAGAAGCCCCTGCTGCTGCTGCTGCCAGGCCAGAGGCGCCGGCGCCCAGCACGGGGAGATCTCTCTATGAGGAGCTGGCGGCGAGTGTTGCAGCGGCCCCTGCCCGGCCTAAGGCCAAAGCCCCACGCAAGCACACAGAGGAGGAAACACTGGCAGCAGATGCGCTTCAGCAGTTGCTAAGCATCCTGGCCAAGTCCTCTATTTCGCTTGACGAGCTCAGGGCTCACGGCGTCAGCTCAGCAAGCCTGCTGCAGGTCTCGCGGCTGCGAAAGAACCTGGAAACGCAGCAAAAGGACAAAACACCAAGTAGCAGTCTACAGCCCACAGAAGCAGCCCAAAGAGAGCCTGTGGGGCCACATGTGGGGCCCCTTGCTGCAGCTTCCTGGAGCAATTGGCTCCCCCCTGTGTCGTCGTGGCTTAGAGAGAGCTTGAGCTTTCTTCTGCGACCCTTGTCCGGCTGCCTAGGCAGTGAAAGAGTTCCTGCTGCCCGCAATGACGGGCCACCTCATAAGATTATGCCTCTCAGCTGCAGCTGCGTGCGGCTGGGGGCCCCAATGGAGTGCACCTGCGCTTTGCTGATTATAATGGCTGCTGTCGCCTCTGCTCTTTGGCTTCGCCTGGGTGACTGGAGTGTAGACTGAAGCAGCCACTGTGGCTGCTACCTGTACGCACTGCAGTCACTAGGAAGCGAAGCTGCTGGCTTTAATTATTTCTGTCTTTCCCCACGCAGCGCCCGCCCCTGCCCCACAGCTAGCCGAGCTGGACCCCACAGCTAGCCGAGCTGGAGTGACAGGCAGTGGGCCCTTAATGAGTGCTGGACCCTCACATCTGCCCTTTCAGTCTTCGCTGTGTGGGGGTGAGTGGCCGCTTGCTGCGCAGCAGAGTGTTCGCTGGCGAAAACAACCGAAGCTCTGAGCCACTGGAAAGAAAACGCTTGTTTGCCCAAATACCAATAAAACTAAACACTGTCTCATTTGCGCTTACCTGCTCTCTGCGCATTTTCACTGTCCCGCCCCTCTACTTTATTATTTCTTGCTGCTGTCAGCTTCTTTGCTCGCTGCATCTACGGGTGCACGCGTACACGCGGGCACTCTTCATTCTATGGCTTCCATGCATGCAAATAAAGTAATACCTAAATGTACTCATGCAGAGGTGCATATAAAGAAAACATAAGTGCAGCCAGGCTCCAGCACCCATAGCTGGCGCTCTGGGTCTCGGGCGCTCAGATATGAGTGAACCTGCAAAACAACTTGGGCTCAAGCGGCTACGGCAGCTTTTAATGAGCCTTCTAGTTCCGGCTGTGTCTTTGTTCGCTTTGCTGCGCGAACAGCGCATTGCGCGGCTGCGGCGTGCTGCCGTCTGCAGCAGATCCAGCAGCAGCTGCACTGGACGCAGCAGCACCTGCAGCTCCTGCTGGCACGGCTGCTGCTGCATTAGAAGGGGGGACGGCGGGGACACCCCCAGACATAGGAGCAGGAACTGGTGGCTTCTTGATCTTGTTGCGTGAGCCCGAGCTCCTGCTGCTGCTACTGCTGCTGCCGCTGCTGCTGCTGCTGCTGCTGTGGCCCTCCGCAGCGTCCGCAGTGCGCTGTCGCTTCCTATCTTCGTCTCCCTCTGCAGTATCTCCTTCTCTCTTGTTGGGCCAGCTGCCGAAGGCAGAGCCCCCCGAAGTTCCTTCAGCTCCTCCCTGCGAACAACACTCACGCAAGCCGCGGCGAGCCACTGTGGGGCCCCCCCCACACCGGTACGAGGCAAGGACGCAGCAAGCACGGCCCTTAGGAGTAGCAGCAGCAGCAGCAGCTGCTGCTGCTGCTGTCGCTGCACCAAGAATCTCTCCAGCAAGTTCGGCCCGACGCGGTACACGCACGTACATGGGACCGGGCCGAGGATCCTGGACCGAAGGCGTCAGTGCCGCTGATGGTGCTGCTGCTGTTGCTGCTGTTGCTGCTGTTCTTGGCAGCAGTAGGTGCAGCAGATTGAGGGCCCTGGTGAGTCGAACCAGAGGGCATCGTGGCAACAGGAGCAGCAGCAGAAACACCTGATTTGCTGCTGACCCCACGAGGCGCTACAATTGGCGGGGGTGCTTTGGGCGCCACTCTAGGCTTCGTCACACCGCTGCTGCTGCTGCTGTTGCGGGAGCTGGACGAACTATGAGTGCGCGGACGATTGCTATCCCTGCTGCTGCTGTTGCTGCTGCTGCTATTGCTGCTGTTGCTGCTTGAAGAAGAGGGCCTTGTGTCTCCAGAAGAGCTGCTGCTGCTGTTGCTGCTGCGCATGCTCCCGCTGTGGTTGCTCCTCGCGGTGTTGCTTCTGCTGCTGGATGCAGTGCTCTCCCCTTCACGACTGCTGCTGCTGCTGCTACTGCTGCCCCTATGCTGCTGCTGTCTGCTGCTGCTACCCCCATCTCTGACGCTGCTGCTGGGGGCGCCACTTCGGTTCCTGGACCCGTGCCCACCATCACCAGCATGCGTTCTTCCGCTGCTGTTGCTGCTGCTGCTGCTTGGCCCCGCCGTGCCGGTGGCTGCAGACCCTGAAGAAGCAGCCGCTTTGCTGCTGTTTCGGCTGCTTCCGTCCTGCTGACGCCCGCTAGCGGAGTCACTGCTTTTAGAAGTGCTTCCGCCGTCACGATGGCTACGTGCTGATTGACCTTCTGGCTTGCAGCTGCTGTTGCTGCTGCTGCTGTTAGCTGCACATGCGTAGCTGCCGAATGGGACCCCACGCCCTCCAGACGAGGTAGAGTCGGCATTGCGAAGGGGCCTCGGAGATGCTCCGCTGTTGCTTTGGGGTTTGCTGCTGCTGCTCGGCCTGTTGCTGCTGCTGCTGTTGCTAGGCTGTCCTCCTGACTCCTGCATCGTCGAACCTACAACTGTGCTACCGCTGCGGCTGCCCTTGGTGCTGCCGCTGCTGGGCAAAGGAGGAGAAGCTCCAGCAAGCCCTGCCATCCTCGCCTTCATTAGAGAAACAGCCTCAGGGCCAAGAGGGCTCCTTCGCACGGGGGCTGCAGCAGGAGGAACAGCAGGAGCGGCAGCTGGGGGCTGAAGAGCAGCAGGTGCTGCAGCAGGTGCTGCTGCAGCAGGCGCGGCCGCTGCAGCTGGTGCTGCTGCAGCAGGTGCTGATACAGCAGGTGCGGCTCCTGCAGAGGTGGCAGCAGCAGCAGGGGTGGCAGCAGCAGCAGGGTGAGCTGGGTTTTTCGTGCTGCTGTTACTCGTAGAGCTGTCTGATGCCGCAGGTGCTGCTTGTCCTGGTGGGCTAGCAGTGCTGGCTCCTGCTGGTGCTGCTGCTGCTTCTGTCTTGGCCTGCAAAGGCGTCAACCAACACTTGGCCGCTGGGGTTTGTATTAGCCTTTAAGACTGCGTGCCTGCCTGTGGGAGCAGTCAACAATTACTTCCTCCCCCTCTTATTTTCTTACCCCTTCGCCCACGCTTATACCGCAATGCGAGCTACACGCTTAAATATGAAGAACTACATATTATAAATGTACATGTATGTATATATAAATATACGGATATGCGTATATATAGGTATACATATATACCGATATATAGATATATAAAAATGGATATATACTATATACACATAGATACATGTATAGATACATATATATACATATGGATATAGATATATGGACATAGGTATAGATATATATATATGCATATACATATAGATACACACATCTAGCATAAAAGCAGCAGCTAAGCAACCACGCTTGGCTTCCTTGTCTGCTGCTTCTGCCTACCCGTTTGGCCTGAGGCTCTCCAGCCAGCCCAGTTAAGGCATTTTTTACTCTTGATGCTGTCGCGCTGAAAGGCGACGCTGCAGCAGTATGGCCCTGCTGAAGTTTGGGGGTTTCTGTGGCTTTGCTGCTGTCGCCTGGCTGCTGCAGTGCCGCAGCTTTATCCTTTCCTGCGGGTGTCGTTTGCTGCTGCGACAGCGCGTTGCTTTTCGACTTCTCTTCTGCTGCTGCACCGGACCCTGCTGCAGCCGCCGCTGCTGCTGCTGCTGCTGCAGGGACGGGGTCCAGCCACCGCCCTTCCCGCTGGTGTTTCGCCAGCACCTTCACTATGCTGCCAGCCGAGAGCGAAACGTCCTTCCAGTTCCAGGCCTGCTCGCATCGCGCGCAAACGGCAGAGGGAAATGGCCTGACCGCTCTGCAGCAAAAGCTAGGCAGCTGCAGCTAGCTGGCTAGCTAGCTAGCCAGCTAGCTGCACAGATTGCCCGCCAGGCAGCGGCCCGTCTAGCTAGCTAGCCAGCTAGCCAGTCGTCTAGCAACTCTGTAGTCACGAAGACTCCAAGGCGCCGCCGCTACAGCTCGCCGAAGTTCCTCCGCAGAATCTTTTATTACTACATATGTACTCAGTGGCAGAACCAGAAGCAGCAGTAGCAAACGCAAATGGCACGGACTTGTGCTGCAGTCAGAGCCTCTTCTAGGCGGCGCATGAGCTCCACCCCACGCCTGTAAGTTAGCGGAAAGCTGTAGTGACACCGCGACAAAAAGACCACCGCGGCCTTCGTCTCCAGCCAGCCCGAGTCGTTGGGAGATGAAGCAGCAGCTGCTGCCAGAGGCAAACCTGCGCAGCCTCGCCCGACGCACCAGCGCCTCACATGAGAAAATTTGCAGCTTTTCATCTTTTATTTGCAGCTAGCTGGAACTAAATGGAGCTGCAACAGCTCGCCCAGGCCACTGGCTTCGAGGCAGCCAAAGGCCAAAAAGAAGAAGCCCCTATTAGCCGCCCACCGCCGAGACAGGCCCACACAGCAGCACAGAGAGAGAAGTCCGCAGGAGCAGCAGAGCCACTGGCGAGATCAAGAGTGCAGCATTTAGAAGAAATAGCGGAGATGGCGAGTGCACTAGTGCAGGCTTTGGGGCACTCGAACTTTTCTGCGGGAATGATGCAAGAAGATCTAAAAAGCAACAGCAACGCGAGGCGCTGCAGCAGCGCAGCAGCGCAGATGCAGCCCCAGCTGGCCCAAAGTGCTGCTCCTACTCTGCACGAGACCGTCCAGTATGCGGGCCTCCCACTTCCTGGCCCCCTTCACTAGGTGGCAGTGCTTGGCCTTGTTGTCTGCGAATCTGTAGGTCAGCGCGAAGCAGCAGTTGCCCTCCGTCTCCTTCTCAAATGCCTCTTTGTCTTGCAGCCAGCGACGCAAGGGGGACAGAATCTCCGCAACAAACAGGCCCAGCATCTGCGCCTCCCGCTCAGTACTGCTCCTGCAGAAAGGCAACAAGTCACAGCAAACCAACGCAGCCACCGATGGGGACCCCCGCAGTCGCCAGTGGGGCCCCCGCAGCGTACGGTGGGGCCCCCGTGCTGTGCTTCTCGCCGCTAGGCGGGCCCGCAGGAAGCTGAACAGCTACTCAGGCTGGTGCCCAGGCAGCACCTTTGCTGCTGAGGCGGCAACAGCGGCAGCGGCGTGTTGCTGCTGCTGCTGCTGCTGCTGATGCTGTTGCTATGGCGCTGCTACTGCGTCTGCAAAGATACCTGATGAGAGGCACAAGCATGCGTGTCCAAATGTTCATGAAATCGAGGAAGTTGAAGAGAGGAAGGCGGAGGCTGACAAGCAGCCAAACAAAGTGCGCGCAGAAGAGCGCGTCAGCTTCAGAGTTAATGACGCGAGGAGCCAACATGTACTTAATAATCGCACGGATTGTGAAGGGTCCCCTTTTGGAGCCGCCTGCTACTGCTGCAGCTGTTGGTGTTGCTGCTTGGGGTGCTGCTGCTCCTGCAGCAGCATTAACGCCGGCTTTGGGCACAGCAACGCCCTCGCTGCCACCGCCTGAGAGCCGCTTGGGGGTATCTCGAGGCAGCACCAAGCTGTCTTCGGTAGTGCTGCTGCGGCGGCTCATGGTGAGCACTGAAGAGGCCCCGTCGGAGTCACAGCTCTCTGCATGCAGCAGCACCTGCTGCGCTTGCTGCTGCTGCTGCTGCTTGGCTGGCAGCAGCCACGTGCGACTTTCCTCCTGCAGCGCCGCGCGCACGGCCGCCTGCCTTGCCTTGTGGCTGTTGAACTCTTGCTCAAGAGCCCTGCGGTGTTGTTTGAGTCTTATCCGTTTCTTCTTGAGGGCCTCTTCTTCCTTTCTGCTATAGTCCACGGCCCCTGCGGCTACCATTGCTGCAGTCGGCTCCCGGCTACTGCTGCTGCTGTTGCCGCTGCTGGCCATGTTCCGACGGTAACGTTCTATCTCTTCAATTGCTTTCTGCGTCTGTACCTCGACCGCAAACAAACCCTAAACCCTAAGCCCTTACACACCAGCTCTACGCATACCTGCATGCTCCCCTAACTATTTGTGACTTGCTGCTGGCAAGTGCAATAGGTGTGGTTGACTTCGTGGCCCCAGACAGCGAGTCAGCATTCGTGGTGTCGGCCATCTCTCTTGCGGCTGAGCAATTGGCGTTTAGGGTTTAGGGTTTACGTCGTTTAATGCGTTTTGCAGCTTGCTGATGGAGGCCTCGTACTGCTCTGTGGGCACCAAAATGTCCTCTAAAGACAGCCGCCAGAACAGCAGCACGAATTTCACCGACATGCCGTCCAGCTTCTGGGGGTCGATCCCAGAAGGCTTCAGTAGCGGCAGCATGCACTCTCCCCAGTTCTCTGCATACCCAAACAAGCACCTCCCTACAGCTGCTGCCACCGCTGCAGTTGCTGCTGCTGCTTCTGCTGCTGCCGCTGCTGGCGGCATTCGTGTTGCCGGTGTTGCTATAAGCCGACAGAAGAACAAACCTGTGAAGGAAGGCTCCAGCGAGCTTGCTGTAGAGACGCTGCAGCCAGCTCCTGGGCTCTGAGCATCATCCTCAGCAGCAGCTGCAGCAGGCGCAGCAGGCGTTGCTGCTGCTGCCTCTTTCGCTGGGGGCGTGTTGCATGCAGGGGAGCCCGCGCGGGTCTGCGGCGACGATTCATCTTGTGGCAACGGCGTCTTCTTGCTGCTGCTGGTGCTGCTGCAGGCAGCGCCGCTGCTGCTGCTTCCGGGGTCTGGTTTGGCCCTGAGAAAGTCTGGGAGCGCAGGCCTGAGGAAGCTCCAGGCCATCGCCGGGCACAGAAAAGCAAAGAGGGTTTTGGGGGGCGGCAGCACAGCCTGGTAAGCCTCTCTGGAAAAGGAGCGGCGGAGGTACTCGAGGAGCTGCAAGTGGTACTTGTGCAGATCGTCTACAGTGGCAGCAAACACCATCATGGACTGCCTGAACTCCGAGTCGTAGAGCACCTCAGTTCGAACCTTGGCGGGAATCAGCAGCAGCGGCAGCAGCAGCCGCGGGTCCCCCAGGGCCTCGCACAGCAGCTGCTGCGCTCGCAGATCCACCGCCAAGTCCTCCTCTCCGCTAGCCAGCATCACCTCCGCCTTCAGCAGAGGGCCTCCTGCCTGCGGTGCAGCAGCAGGCATGCAGCAAACACGCAGCAGCAATGCAGCAGGCATGCAGCACGCAGGCAGCAACAATGCAGCAAGCATGCAGCAAGCATGCAGCAAGCAAGTTTCGTGCACAGCCGCCCCAGGCCCCGAGGCCCCCAGAGTATTTCACTTTCTTGATTTTACCAAAGTGCCCTACTACCCGCCCCTGCGATCTGCTGTCTCAGCTTCCACACGGGGACGCCTGCTGCGGCTGCCTCGTTTCTGAAGCTGCTGCAGCAGGCCCTTAGGTGTTGCTGTAGGGCCTCTGCAGGAGAAGTCTTGAAGGCGTCAGTCTTTACCTGTGCGTAGATCTGGTCTGCCGTTAGGGCCCCAGCCTCTGGAAGTCTGGGGCAGCCGCCGACGAGCTCCAGAAGCCTTTCTACGTATTCCTTGTCTCTGATGAATCCCGCCAGGCGGTGAGGATAGTCTCTGTTTTTGCCAGCTATAACGACGGAGACAGAGGGGCCCTGGGGAGCGCCGCCGGGGGGCCCCTCTGCGTCCACCGCCATGGGGGCCCCCTCCTCATCCAGCTCCTCCCGCTCGCTGCGAAAGTGCTTCACGTCTCGTACGTGCAATTCGCACCACATGCGCGTCACTGTGGAGACCAGCAGGGGCCGCAGGTCGGTGTCTTTGTGGCTGCGCAGCAGCAGAGGCACGTCGAACTCCAACATATTCAAAAACAGAAATGGCCCAGCCCGCCCAGCCACGGGCAGACAGCCTCAGAATGGCCCACGCGGAATGCTACAGCCAATTAGCAGCAACAGAGAGACAAGGCCGCATCAATGCAGGCAGCAGCAGAGGCAGCAGCCACCCAAACGCAGCAGCAAACCCCTGGAAGCAAGGCGAGCTGGTGGGAGACAGAAAAGCAATGTGCAGCACAAAAGGCATTCTGGGACGCTGGAGGCAAACGAAAAGACCAGGGATGAGGGCTAGAAGAAGCAGCACGAGACGAGGCAACAGCAGCAAAGCAAAATGAAGCACCAGACAACCAGGCAGAGTGACAGGCGCAGTACAGGCAGAGACCACATACAATCCCCAAACAGCCACGCCGTTCGCTACATCCTGGCTTGCGGGGCCGGCGAGCTGCAGCAGCAGCAGCGCGCAGCAGCAGCAGCACGCAGCAGCAAAGACACAATGGATTCAGGGGAAGAAGGTAAAGAGACGGAAGAAGGCAGCTTTGAGGGGCTCTGCGCACATCCTGAAGAAGCGGCCAGCCATGGCCGCCCTGTTAAGCAGCTTCCGAGACACCCCCAAACCCTCGCCCTCGCCGCCTTCGTCTCGGCGCCGCAGCTGCCGCTGGATTAAACGTGAGGCCAGGACGTCTGCTGCCACGGCTGAGACCCGGCGCGTGGCCTCCGTCAGGGTTTGCACCTGCGCCCGCCCACAGCAGCAGCAGCACAAAGCAGCAGCACAAAGCAGCAGCACAAAGCAGCAGCACGCGGCTCCAGATTGCTGCTGCCCTGTCTCTCCCTAAAGCTTTTGGTCCTGCAATGCACTACTGGAGCATGCAGACGAAAGCAGCAGCAAGGCCAGCAGCAACGAGAAACAGACAGCAGCAGCGCCATGCTGCAGCACGAAGGGACTAAACATCGGGGAAATGCATAGGAGAACCAGCACCAGAAACAACAGCATCAGCGGACGATGGGGCAGCAGCAGAACAGACACGGCAAGTGCTGCAGTGGAGGCTGCTAAACTGGCTGCCCGTGCAGCAGCTACTCTTGTGGCGGCTCTTTCACCGTTTGCTGCAGCCGCTGCTGCAGCAAGCAAAGCTGCTGCGAGGCCGTCTGACTGACCATGTTTTCGTCAAACAAGTCTCCCTGGGTGATGGCGATCTCAGCCAAGGGCAGAGGGGCACTGAGGGAAAGAGCCGCAATTTCTGCTAAAATGCCTTTGTCGCTGTCTTTTGCCTTAGTCGAAAATATCGTAGAAGTCAAACGCTTCAGCAGCTTGCGCAGCTTTAGCCTAGCCACTTCGTAGTTCAACGCCTGCAGCAGGAGCGGCAGCAGCAAAACAGAAGGGGCCATGATCCCCAAGAAAGACGCCTCTGTAGCGCGAGCAGAAACACCAATTCCCAGCCTCTTTCCAACGCGGAAAAATGCGCAGCGGCAGCCGCGCAGCTCTAGCTCATTCTCTGTATTATTTGCGGCTGAATTCGTCATTGCTGCTGCAGCTGCTGCTGTTGGTGCTCCTAAGAGTCCTACTACCATAAGAGAGCTGCCATCAGCGGCTGCAGCAGCAGCAGCACTACACTCGCGGTTGCGCGGAAGTAGCAACTTGGCAGAAGCCACGGCAGCAGCCGCAGCAGCAGCAGCCGCAGCATCTGGCGCGTCGCTGCTTTCGTACCAAGGGGCACTGCTCGTTCTCCCACAGCTGCATGACTCTGTCGTATATCTGGTAGCGTCTGTGGGGCGGCAACTCCTTAAGGGCTGACCACAGCAGCGCGTTGATAGTGGGGGCCCCATGAAGCACTTGCGAAACAGCCGGAAATATCGTCTCCGCCATAAATACAGCCTGTGCATGCACAGCGTCGAGTCCACACTGCCATGATGCATGCATCCATTCATGCATGTATGCATGCATGCGTGCATGCATGCGTGCATGCATGCGTGCATGCATGCATCCACCCGTGGTGCTGAGGCCCCAATGGCCATGAGCCCCTCACTGCAGCGCCTCAAGAGGCGGCCAGCGGCAGCCTAAAGAGCCCCCGAGCCCCCCAAATGTCTCTTTGCTAGACCTTTTGCTGCTAAGGGCACTCCGTACGCCATAGGCCTTTGGGGGCTCTCCAGCCCCCCAGCTGCTCCCCAACAGGTGTGGGACCAGAATGAATATGCCCCTGTGCAGAGGGCCTGCCCACCAGCTGTTCGTAGCGCCAGTCTTGGGGCTCCTTGCCGGCCTTTACCGAAGCAGCAAACTCCTTGCAGATGCCCAACACCCCCAGCAGAAGGCGGGGAGCAAACGCCAGGGACGCATGCAGCACGCGCAGCAGCGGGACTGCTTTAGTGAAGAAATCGTCAAATGAGGTGCACTGAAACTGGCCCTGAGCCCTGAACCCAGCTGCTCCTGCTTCTGCTGCTGCTGCTGCTGCAGTTGGCGCTGCGGCTTCAGCTCTTGCTGCTGCCTGCGTAGGGGCAGACAGCGAAGGCAGCAGCAAACCTAGCCACACACGTGGGAGGCGGGCGGGGCTGAAGTTGTTTTCATCTGCTGCAGCCCTTCGCAGGGCCTCAAGGGCCTCTCCAGAAGGCACTTTCTCGTCAAGGGGGTCCTTGTAGGCCCCATCTGCTCCGTCCCCAGACGGGGCCCCTCGGGCCTTTGCATACGCATCCAGCATCTCCCGCAAGGAGGCCTCTGGCCCTTTTAAGATGGGGCGAATTAGCCAGCTGAGGGCACAGGCAAGGAGGACACAAAAGAGGCCATCCTAGTGTAAGAAGCAGCTTTCGGGCTTGGCTTCAGAGCCAGAAAAATGGACAAAAAGGCCAAAAAAATGACAAAAAGGCCGAATTTGAATCTAAGGCAGCTAAGGCAGCAACAACTCGCACGCAGCAAACGGGCACTTCATTCTGCAGCAAAGGGTGAGGCCTCAAGCCTCCCGGCAGCAACTTCGGGACAAAACCGCCACAGGAGCAGTTGCTGCTGCTGCTCCTGCCCCGAAATGCATGTCTTCATGGGATATGCAAAAGATGTGATTTCTATCTAAATAAAAAACGAGAAAAGGAACAAGCCCATAAACTGCGGGCTGCGCAGGGCGGCCGCCACAGCTCAAAATTTCTAAGAAAGCCAAAAGCCCTTAAAAGGAGTCCCAGAAAGATGCGACAAGAGCAGCAAAGACAGGGCCAAAGGTCCATGAGACCCAAGAGAGGGGTGGAATTGGAAAGGGCCGAAAAGAGTTACTCTGTGGAGAGTTAGAGGGGCCAACTCCCCGTACAAGCCCCATTAGACTAAACTAAAAGAATACAATTAAACGTGAAAGTGAGAAAACAGAAAAAGAGAATAAGGAAGTTTCTGCATGAAGAGAAGAATTGCCAGTTGCAGCCAAAGCAGCAGCAGCAGCTGACCTGACGTATTGAACGAGGCTCTTGTGCACCCGGGAGTTGACTGTAGGCAGCAGCCGCAGCTTCCCAGCGAAGTGCAGCAGCAAAACTTGGGCGGACTCGAAAGCATTGAAATCCAACAGAGACGCCAACAGCTCCAATTTCGGAACACGCAAACGATACACAAAGTCCCGAGACGCCCTGTTGCACAGAAGATCGCACACCAACTCAACTCCGCAGGAGCCGCACAAAAGCCCCAAACACACCGCCACAAAGCATGCAAATAAGCACATGCACAGAAACGGCCACTGCCAAAGCACATGTATATATATATATATATACAGATGTACAAGTACAAATATATTTAAACATACATATTGTTGGAAACAGTCGTTAAGTGGCCAAGTCTTAATGAACATTATTTACTGGAAATAAAGCACGCAACAAGACAAGCAAAGAGAAAGAATGAGACGAATATATTCGAATTCAGAAAGAGCACTAGGGCTGCCGTAGTCAGCAAGCTCACCTGTAGGTGTTTTCAGCATCCTGGAGAAGGTGCTCCACCTTTGGGGGCAATGCGGCGGCAACAGCTGCTTCATTTGCTGCACCTGCCGCTGCAGCAGATGAATTTACAGGGCTGTCCCTTGCATGCTGCTGCTGCTGTTGCTGCTGCTGCTGCTGCTGCCTCCAGTCATCTCGTCCACCTCTACCTGGGGAATTGCCCCAGGCAGGGGAAGCCCCGTAGGGGCCCCCAAACTGCATCGCTCCAGGGCCGCCCTGCCCGAATGGCCCCGATGGCGCAAATCCTGAGAGCAGCAGTAGCAAGAAGAGCAGCATCAGAGGCCGCAGCAGCAGGGTGGACTGCAGAAGAAGCAGCAGCAGGAAGCCCACCCTAACAGGCTGGCGTGGCGCACTGCACAGGCGTACCCTGAGAGCTGGATGGCTGCTGCTGCGGAGACGAGTCTGCCCCAGAAGCGGCTTCAGCTGCTGCTGCTGATGCTACTGCTGCTGGTGGTGCTGCTGCTGGTGGGGGCGACTGCTTCGGCGGTGGCTGGAGGGTCCCTGCCTTCGCCAGTGAGAGGGCCTGGCGGTAGCGAAGCGCCAAGCGATCGGCCAGCAGCGCGAGAGAGGCGTCGGAGGGCAGCAGGTAAGGGTACAGTTCCTCCAGCGAGAGCAGTCTGGGAACGAACATCCGTGCAAACATTTTTGCAGTTTCGGTGTATTTTTCTGTCATGTCCATTTGCGTCAAGAGGTTTTAAGCTTACCCATCCTATTGAATGCAATTCAGAATGCATGCATGCATTAGGTGGGGTCTCAAGTGTCCAAAAGTGTGCATAAAAACTGCACACTGACGCGTCCCCGCGGTTTGTTCTCTTATGCCCAAAAATCCGTCTTTGCATTTGTACACGCAAACCTTAAGTGCATGCAGGCACAAGTGTTCATACACCCCAATCGGGCTTATCTATGTGCATACAGCACAGGTATTCATACACCCTAGTTGGGCTTATCCATGTGCATGCAGGCGCAAGTGTCCATACACCCTAACCGAAATGCAAAAACCCCCATCTCCGGGCACGCGATCCTGGGCACGGATTTTCGTGCGCGGGTTTCCGTGCATGGGATCTTGAACCAAACCATAAATGCGTTTTTGTAGGCATATATGAATCATTAGATGGGCTGTTGATGTGGAACAATGAGTTTAAAGATGCATATGGACATCACCATCTATGCCTCTCTCAAGCCTCCAAACCCACAAGTGTTTCATAATTGTGCACAGGGAAATGCACAGCTTTTCTACAGCACACTTTCAATGACGTATAAGAAGCGCGAACATAAACAGGCAGTTCATATGTGCAGAAGAGGCGTGTGCACGAGGAATACACGAGCTAAGAGGAAAGGGCCCCGCAGAAAGGCAGAAACAGCAGCCCATTGCACAAGTAGCAGCAGCAGCAGCAGCAGCAAGCGCAACTTCTGCTGACCCCCTCATAATCAGCACAGCCAACAGATCAAAAAACTCCTTCGGAGGCCCCTCTGCGGTGCTGCTCAGTAACGAAGTCCTTAAAGATCCCATCTCGGCCTCGACCGTCCGCTGAAACGCAGCAGCGCCAAAACAGCGGCAGCAGCAGCAGCAGCAGCAGTTAGTTACACCTCTGTGTACTGCATGCACAGCAGCTCTATCTGCAGGACCCGCCCAAAACAGAGGAGCCGCATATTGTGAGCATGCGACGCATGCGACGTACCAGTGGGTCATGTCTCTTGCCGCTACTACCGCCGCCAGTGCCCCACATCTGCTGCTGCTGCTGCTGCTGTTGCTTGAAGTGCACCCGTGCGTCTGCGTACATGTGCAGCGTAAAGCCCACCACCTCTCGCACTTTCGGGCCCGCATAGAGCCGCACGAGAGGCAGCAGCTGGTTGGGGGCCCACAGGAAATCCTCGTAGACCCCCAGAAGCAAAGAGAGAGAACGAGAGGGACACAAACTGCCGCTGCTGATGATGGACTTGTAGGCCTCCGCGGCCACAGCCGCACCCAGCCTCTCCTGCACACACGCAGCAGCAGGCAGCCTGCAGCCACTCAAGAATGAGACGAGCAGCCCATAGCTGCAGCAGCAGCAGCAGCTGCAGCAGCTGCAACTGTAGAGGGAGAGGTGCGTGTGATTCCCTCGATATCTGTCTGCCCTGTACATCTGCTGCGGCCTTTCTTCGGTCTCAGTTATGTTTCAATGTGTCTCTTTTAATATCTGCCAGTCTCAAGAAGCTTGCCCAGCTTTCCCGCTGCTGCTGCTGCTGAGCCTCTCACCGGGTGGCTAACGAACTGCAGCAGCAGCGCATGCATCCTCGCATACAACGCAATGTGCTCTCTGGTGGAGTTATGGACAGTCAGCGTGAATTTGCGTTTAGTCCTCTCCTTGACCAGCAGCTCGTTGACCCTTCGAGTCCCCCGGGGGCCCCCAGGGGGCCCCCCAGAGGGGCCCCCAGAAGCCAAACGCGACCACTGCATCTCGTCCAGCCGGGAACTGGAGACGATCCCGCAGATGTCCTGAGAAGTCGCCAGCCCCTGCAGCTCCAGCTGGCGCAGGAAAGCTGCAGCAAAGCAGAGACAGCCACAGAGACTGAGATCAGGCCATCTTTGCTGCATTTTGCTCGCCAAAAGTACAAATAAAACGCACATTGAAGCGCCATACACACATCTAATTGGGCCTTTCTTTTCCCCTTCTGCTAATGCATGCACGCCAAATTGCACGAAGTGCTCATCAGCCACAAATAAAATTGCCCTTCAAAAAGAAGCCTCGAATTCCCCTGCAGCATTTCCCACCCATTCGGGCCAAAGGCAATTTGCGCAGTCTTTGCCACTGCCGGGTTTGCTGCTGTGTGGCAAAAATGCCAATACTTAGAAGAATATGAAAATATATATTTGCAAGAGCTTGCTGAGTGATGCGGCTTATGCATGCCCGCTAGCCGCACAGCAGCAAACTGGAAAGCGAATGCCAACAGCAGCGGCAGCAACAACAGCCGCAAGGGCCACCCCGTAACGCCAGCAGCAGCAGCGGCGTAAACGGCAGCCGCAGGGGACCTCCCTCAGCGTCAGCAGCAGCAGAAGCAACAGCAGCCGCCGGGCAACCCGCCAACGCCAGCAGCAGCAACAGCAGCAGCAGCAGCAGCAGACCTGCGAGTGTCGCTCGGGCCTTCCTTGAGCTGGGGCCTCCTCCGTTTCCGCCCAGCATCTCTGCGCACTGCGTGACCCCGTCTAGCAGCATTGCCAAAAACGGCTGAGGCAGAGCTCCCCCCGCGAGTCTGCTGCTGCTGCTGCTGCTGCTGCTGCTGTCGGATGCCCCCAGCGCCTCCTGCAGCCCGTAGGGGCCCTTGTGGGGGGCCCCCAAGCCGGGGGGCCCCAGAATGTGGGCCATGAAGGCCGCCGCTCTTGAAACGTTAAGAGTTGCGGGGGAGGGGGGCCCCCTGAAGCAAGAAGCAAAAGTAATGCAAGTGCTGGCGGGCTCTGTCTCCTTCTTTGGGCTTTTTAAGTCCCCCGATGGTGTTTCCTTTGCTGCTGCTGCTGCGTCGTTTGCTGCTGCTTGCGTTGCAGCAGCTAGAGAAGACGACTCGTCCGCGAGCCGCTTTTCTGCTTCCCCAGCGTCTGTTGCTGCTGCTGCTGCGACTGCACTGCAGTCCTCGGGCTTGACCTTGTCATTCGCTGCTGCAGCAGCTTCTGCAGCAGCAGCTGCTGCTGCTGCAGCTTCCTGCTGCTGGGCTTGCGCCCTCCTTGCGCACTGGCGCACGTCCTCCAGCAGCTGCAGCAGGTGCAGCAGCGCGCGGGGCAGCAGCTGCTGCTGCAGGAAAGCAGCAGCAGCAGTAGGGTGCAGCAGCCCCCAACACACGCAGTAGACAAACTCAAAGAAAAAAGAAACAAGAGCACTTTCTGTCTCCGGGGAGACCGACACAAATATTACATTCAAGTCAACTGCACGGACGCAGCAGCAGCAGCAGCAACTGGGCCCCCCAGGGCCTTCCCCACAGGGGGCCCCAGGGGGCCCCTCAAGGCCTCTCTCCTGCAACGCCATGGGGACAAACTGGAGGCACTGCTGCCGCCAGGCCTGCGAAAGCAGCAGCAAAACAGTAGCATGCGCAGCAGCAGTGAGCAGCAAAAGCGAAAGCCAGAGGGGAGTAGCGGCCGTTTCTGCTGCTGCAGCTGCTGCACCTTCGTCGCAGCAGCAGCAGCAGCAACAGCAGCAGCAGAGGCTCTACGGTAACGAGAAGGGCAGAACCTAGCTTGCTGCAGCTGCAGCAGGTCCCGCTGTGGATGCTGCTGCCGACGCTGTTGCTGCAGCTGCTGCTACCGCCGCTACCGCGCTAGCAGCAACAGCACAGGGTTTGTTCTAGATACTGTTTTTAGCCCGTTGGTTTATACGGGCCATTTGGACTAGAAGTGATAATAATAAAAGTGAGAAAAGCAGCAGAATGAGAAGGGAAAGAGGCAAAAAGAACAGCAGCACATGCAGCAGCAAACGCCGCTGCGGCTGTCGGCAGCACTCACAAACAGCAGCAAACCCCTTCTTCACAGAAATAAAAAAGAAGCATATGCATGCATGCAGGAGGCCCCCGCGCGGGTGCAAGCTGCGGTGTACGTACACCCGAATGCATGAGCAAGAAGCCCCCTGCATGAGCAAGAAGACCCCGCGAGGGCGGCTGCGGTGTACGTACACCCGAATAAATAAGGAAGCAAACAAAGGACTCACCTCCAGCCTTCTGGCCAGCAGCTGCGCGAAGTTTTGTTCCGTGGCCTGCAGGTCGCACTGTCTGTAAGGATCCACCAAAATGCTTCTGTCTACACCTCCATCTTGGCCGCCGCTGCTGCTGCTGCTGCTGCTCACGGGCTTCACCAGGACGTAGCGGTGGAACTCGGCAGCTGACAGAGACTGGAAACTCGCATCTGCTGCTGCATCTTTGTGGCGAGAAGCAGCTGCGAGTCCCCCTGCTGCTGCTGGCCTTGTGGCTGATCCTGCTGCCAGCCCTGGCCCTGAAACAGCAGCAGCTGCCGCCGGAGCAGCAGTCGGCTGCTTCGCAGCAGCAGCTGTCATGGCACTTCTGTCTTCCACGTGTTTAACACGACGACACAAGCAGCTGAAGCAGCAGTGTCCTGGGGAATACGCATGCTGTTGCTGCTGCTGCTGCTGCTGCTGCTGTTCTACTGCAAAAGCGACGCGACAAACAGCCGCAACATATCTCCGTTCACATGTGCCTAAATGCCCCTTCCATTTGACGGCTCAAGCGCCTTTACACTGCTAAGTCGTTGCTGTTGGACTGAAGAAGGGAAAATGCAAGAGCTGAGCAATGAGCTGCCGCAGTGTACGCACACCCCCCGAGTCCGCCGCACTCTCTCACGCTCCTTTGCTACCAGAACAAAGTTGCATTATCATTTTTCAAAACGAGAAAAGATTCAAACGAAGAGTTACTGCTTGGCCTTTCACAAAGAGCAATGCTGCCAGGCCGTTTGGGGCTGCATGCGGCAAAGGGGCTGACAAAAACGGAGATATCGATGCTTGAATAAACCCAAATTCAACGATACTGCAATTTAACTAAAGCTTTAGAAGTAGTGTGAATGATGCTCCTCCTTCAAATTGTTCGCTTTGTCAGTCGCAACTCAGACGCGCCATTACCCTGCGAAAAGGAAATGCCATGATTCCCTAGGCCAGCTGGTGTTGGTTAGCTGCGGCCATTTGCCAGTAGTACGGAGTAGAATGATCAACCGAATGTAGCTATGTGTGTGTCTCCTGGTGTAATTGTTGGTAACAGGCTCTTGCAAGAAAGCCAGTTAGCTTTCCAGCTAGAGTTTACCGAGGAACTGAGAAGGTCATGTCACGCTGGAACAAATGGATAGCTTACAGAGCAAATTGGTGCATTTGCTGAATCTGTTGACAGCGAATTGCACTAACAGGTCGCGCCATTCCATTCACCTTTTTGAAACGATCGCTGCCTATACACTGTCGTGGCCCATCCCTTTTGGCTAAGTGAAAAAAGAATATTCTTGTATTTTCAGTTACTGAGTTAATGCTTATGCCATACTGAGCCTGAATCATCTCCCAGAAGCGCTAGCTTAAGATAATGTGGCCTGCAGATCAGCAAGCCTTAATTGGGTGGGGGTGACGCCAAGCCCAGCGGCTCGAGCTACGCGAACTCGTGTAGCATGGTGTAAAAGTATCTCAGATTCACTGCTCAAGCTACAACAGGCTCGTAATTATAACTATCACAGAGGCGGGCTAAAGAAATAGCTTTCTAGCACTGCAGGAATGGGGGGAGCAGGGAAAGGCAAGAATGAGAGAGAGTGGAGAAGCTCTTCACGTGGGGTGTCCATGCTCTTCTTGAGAAAATTCTGGCCAGGCAGTTGCCTTGCGAAACGGCGCGTACTAAATTGCGCCACGTGACAACATAAGCGCCTGAAATAAGACCATGTTTATGTTGCTTTAAAGTATTTACCTAAATTCAATGCTTGGGGATTCGGTGGATTCCCAAACTTCGTTTGTTACTCACCCCTCTTAAGAAATGGGCCTCTTTTGTCTTATCGGACCCGACGGTTTGATGAGGTAACCCAGCTCCATTTACACAGCATCACTTCAAGTCTGCTGAGGCCATTTCGCCTCTATCAATGGCGGGTCTCGTGAGCAACTTTGCTCACCACAGAGCAAAGCGTCTTAATCGTTTAAGCACTCATATCATGTGCCAGTTTTGTTACCGTTTTACTTAATGCCACCATCTACCGCTGCCGCTCCGGCAGTTTTCCTGGTGCAAGTGCTGCTACTGCTGCTTTCGCTGTCGCGTTTGCAGTCGCTGCTCCTGCTGTTGTGATTGCTAACGCTATTATTGCTGAATCAACTGCTCTTGCTGCTGCAGCTGCCCCTGATCACAGCTCTCCCACAAAGTGAAAATATGCTTGCCATCTCCCCATGGTGACACTAATATCCCAGAGCGTCGGTATATTAGTAAAGCGTCTCATTGGTCAATACCCGAGAAGCTAGTAACCCATGAGGAGGGACTGCGATACAAGGCAGTCGGGCCGGCTCCAGGGATGCAGCATACTGAGGAAGTTTTGACAATGCATTGTCTACGTGCCTTCTTTCATCTTGTAAAAAGTTGCCCTAAAATAGTGGAACTTTGCAGGCAGATCAAAGGCAACAGTGCCCCGCATTGCCTAGGTGTTTGGAAGCGCTCAGCTGCCGTATGCGAGTGAGAGCCTGATATCTCTGCGTCCTGTCACCATGAACGTGCAATAAGTGGTGGCACAATTCTAGAGCTGCGACTAAAGCTACACGTTCCTGGCTGTACGACGAAACGTTTGGCTAGCTCATGCTCCCGGCTGGACTAAGAATACCACTGAGTCCTTCCTCACGCTCGAGGGCCACTTACATCACATAGCAAAAGGCACCAATATATAGCGCGAAATATGTAATATTGTTCCCGAACCATGTAATTGAGGAAATGCTACTCAACGCTTTGTACAGAGTAGGCTCCGGCCCTTCCGCAGGGAGAGGGCGCATCCGTCCCTGTGGGGTTAACGAGGGAGCATGACAGAGGCGATGTAGCTAGCTTGCCTGCTAATAAGACAACGTGATGCTCCAGTATCCAAGATCTCATCGCAGCTGTGCGTAATAGCATCCAGCGGAACAGCTGGGGTTGTTCGCAAACTACTAAGCATAGTCTCGGTAGTCGAACCTTCATACACGGCAGCTCACGCCTCCAATGTGGCACAATTTTTAAGCATTTGGGCAGGCTGGTCCTTGACTTTGTGCCGCCAGGCACTTGACTTCCATTTTGTGGCTCACTAACTGTATATTCATTTAGCTCTCTTGTTGGCGCATTTCCATGCTTCCCTACTTTCAGCTGAGCGTCGACTGTGCTACTTGACGGTGTGAAACTCCTCAAGAACTACTTAAAGCACTATCAAAAGTTAATTAAACTCAGATGGCCTTTTTTCTGTGCATTTCCAGATGGAGGTTGGTGGAAGCCGTGCCTGTGGATCGTTTCTGGTGGTTGCGCAAGATAGTGTCCGTGCGTATGATAATCCTGGTTTGCATCATCCACTTCAAGCTTCTGGCAGATCCTGTCACCTTGTGGATGAAGTTTATCCCCGAGATAGTTACGTTTCTAGTAAATGCGCCGATACGTTCAATACGCACAAATATCAACAGGCATGAAAGAATGAAAGAATGAGCGGAGCAAGCTTTCCAATAAAAAAAAAGTCCGCGTAGAGAAAATGAGTCACCCTATGGAATCCTGAAACACCTGCACAAAGAATGTTCCATGCAATCTGGAATAGCAGTGAAAGAAAAATTGAATAATGAAAGTCAAGCACCCATGCAAAGCATCCCCAAAACGTTTAGAGGCATCTTTGAAATGCGACCATTGTTTTAGTTCACAGAAGTTTGAAGATGCAAAACGACTCTAAAATACACAGACTACAAAGTTTCTGTTTAAGCAGCAGGTGCAGAGGAAGACGATGCAACGCGCTTGGTCACTCAAGAGAAGATGCAAATGAGGAACAACGAAAGGACTGGGCCATCTCGTCACGCACCTTTAAACTGCCCAGAACTTCTCACAACCAGCGCTCAGTATTTGCTGTATGTATTCTTGATTTTCAGACTGAGACGCATGGAGTCAAGAGCACTAGCTTGCCCTCCTCAAGGGGAGCGCCTCCACTGGTTCGCATTTGGTGTTACTATGCGCGAATACGAGATAGCTCATATGGAAAACTCCTTATGACACTACCTGGTCAATAGTTGTCTATGAAACAGATCCTTTGTGAGCACAAAGGAGTGGATCACTAACGATTCACTGTTAATCCCCCGATCCCCACCTTCACTGCGCTGTAGGACGAGCAGAATCCGGGCACCCCAGGGGCTTAAAGGCCTTTTCGTTGTATATGTTGCCCTTATGGTGCACAGTTGATACTCTCAAGTCATTTTGCAGCACACGTGTTTGCTAAACTCTCTCTCTGCCCGCAACGGGACAGTGCTGCGCTTGGCCGTCTGGACCCTGGGGCGTTTCACCATGATCACTAGGCTTCAGCATGGATGCAGAAGCCTTAAAAATTTGATAGGTGGTTCAAGGCAATATGCAATCAACGCTGAAAAGCAAGTACAGTTTCTAAGACACTGGCTAATCTCAGCATGCAGCTCGAAGGCGCTCCACAGGAAGCCACAAAGAGTGGGACCAAAGTACCCATGGATCCTTCAAAAAAGAATGAGAGGAAAGTCTGAGCCTTTCTAATGTCGCCGCATCTACAGATTACCTAATTATATTACTAATCCAACCCCCACAACTAACGGAGAGCTGGAGCGCTTGGCAAAACTGGCCCTGGGGGAGAGTTGGGGGGTCAAAAGGGCTTGGAAGAGGCTATATAGGTTGGCTTTAAGTATACATAAGGGTTTTACGCATAAGTATATACGGAAAATGGGAAGAAACGAACACAATTAGGGTAGCGTTCCACTTGGCATGTGGTGGCAGAGTAAGGCCCAGCCCCTGGGACTGACCGTATGAACTGCGGTATTGTGTGGACTCTGCGTCACTTCACTTCAGAGTATATTCTAAAGCATATTTACGAAAACCTGGGTTGTTATTGCATTTGTTGGTCAACTCCTGACTAATTTGCCCCCCGTCGATCCTCAGACTGTGCTGCTTGCTGCTGCTGGCGGTCGATCTGTTGCGGCGCACGATGTTCGATGGTTGACAGAGAGTTCCCAGCTGTATGCTTTCAGTAGCCTTTGTCTCTGTATGCCTTGGGGACCTTCTTTGCAGTCACTCTGAGCCCCTTGAGGAGCCGGGTGACCCGAACCCTTTCCAACGATGAGGCGTGACGCCGCTTACTGCCTTTTCTGCTTCACGCTTGCTCTGTCTCTACCCGTACGCGGCAGCGAGCGCTTCTACAGTGATAAATCTCAAGAGCCATATCAGCAGCACCGCCAGCCCGCGGGCTTGAACTCTCCAGGCGTTTTGGGACCCTCCGCCGGACTCTCCCCTGTTCCAGAGGGTCCTGAGGGAGCTTCCTCTGGGGTTTCCTCGAGCCCCTTCGGCCCCCCTACCCCTTCCCACAGCAATCCCAGCCCCCGGTACAATTTGCTTGACAAGCTCTCCACAAAGTTGTACGAAACAACTGATGTAAGCCCACCAGCACACCAACCAAGACAGAAGCTGCATGGCGCTGCGCCGCGATCCAGGTTTCTTGCTTGCTTATGAGCAGCGCTTAGAGAAGGCCCGTGGAAACTGCTACAAATCAACTGCAGCATTTTTGTGGCATCTTGTGTACTTGTCTTCCCCCCGTGTCTTGCGCTTCCCCGCAGCTTTCTTCCGATGAATCCACACAAGATGACCACTCCGTCTCGGACGACGCATGGAGTACTGCCGTTGGTAAATATGAGCATTTTCTTTGGATTTAAGGATCTGGGCTTGGAACTTAGGGCTCAGAATAAAAAAAGAACTAATGCCCAGTTTTAGGGTTTAGGGATTGGGCCTTAGTGCAGAGAGCCTCTTCAAGTGACAGTTAATCTGCAGCTAACGTTCAGGAAATGCTTCGTGGTCTATTCTATTCATGGTTTTGCTTCTGAGGGAGGATTGCGTGATGATGGCTTTTATTTATTTCCTCTCTTGCCGTGTATGGGTCTGCTTATCCATGAGTGCTGCTCTGAAGTGTTGGCGTGTTTTTCTCTACCATTTCCGCTTTGCCTGGTTTCGTATATTCTTTCGTGATTGGCTCTCATCTCAACTGAAGCTTCTTCTTCTCTTTTTTTTCAGTTTATCCCTTTCCCCCCCACTTGGCAGACGCAAGAGTGGTGCACATTTTTGTGGCCCTTGTGTTTCCTCTTTGTCGCGTTTTCCTCCCTTGTTTTCACACTTTCTTGCATTTCTTCATTTCTGTTTGCCTTTCAAGCTTTGCTTCACTCAATGCAATATTTCTCTGTGCGCCGCTGCATTCCTTCTTGTTGGCCGTAATTTGAATTCATCAACTTGTGCCTTTATGTACTTCTGCGGCATGCCCGTCGGATGTCTACATGTGAATTTTCCTGCTTGTTCGTTTCAATCTTCTTTATGTTATTTGTGAATTTTCTTATCTAAATATTCTTTTATTGTACATGTGCCTCTGCTGCTTTCGCCTGCCTTTCCGCAGAGCCAGCCGAGGAAGACCCGGTGACAGACGCGGACTTGAATTGTGCCCCCAGCAAGTTCTTATCCCCCGTGGGCCATGCACGGTCAATAGGGGAGGCCTCGGAGTTGTTGCTGGCCTTCAAGGCCTTCGCAAAACAGTCGGCAGCAGCAGCAGCAGCGCACAAAAAGAAAAAGATGCTCATCTTCGTCACTGCAGGCACCGGCGAGGAGCTCATTGGTAACCGGCAGATTTCACAGAGATGTGAGTGCAAGCTCACGTGCTGTGCAGTATCTGTTTTCATACATTTAAAGCTTTATCTTGGAACTATTTCGATTCCGCAACTGCCTCCAGTGGATATGTGGTGTTGTGCTTCTTTTTCGTGCTGGCTCGCATTGTTTTCGTGTGGTCTCATGCCCCATGTGTGCTGATTTTGTGTGTTTGCAAGTTCCTATCTCGTTTGTTTATCAGATCTGTCGGAATAGTGTTCGGCATTCCAGTCATTCCAGTTATTCGATATCAGTCTTGCATCGTATCTCTTATTGGCTTCAGTGATCACTAAGCTGGATCGGCTTTCTGTTGGCAGCCTGCATAGATGTCATAGATGTTTCTTTTGACGAGTCATTCGTGCTTCGCACTTGCGTCTGTTTTCCTATTCTTGCTTTGCTCCGTCTTGTCTCCCCCTGTGCGCCATTCTGTTGGCTTTCCCGAAGTTTTCGTGCATGTCCATCACTTGTGTTGGCGCCAGGCAGTGCATGCTTTCTGTGTAGACGGCTGTTTCTGTTCCGGTGCACCTTTGTTGGCGTATTTGTATCTGGCATGACGTAGAAACACGCTTGAATCAAGTACGCCCTGTACATGCTTGCTTATGCACGTGCTCTTAATACTTGCTGATCACGGATACGTGTACGTGTATAGTGTATTTATGTGGTCTTCTCTTTGTCTGCTTTGTCTCTGTGTAGTGGTGGTGCAGCCCACAGTGCGCAAGAAACGCACGGGTTTTTTCAACCCGAGCGACGGCGTGGCGGAGCTGAGCGACGACGGCCGACTGCAGGTGGAGCTATTGCACGAACTGTTCACACGATTTGTAAAGCAAACGAAGGACTTGCCTGCAGAGCAGCGGCGGCAGGCTTGCGTGGACGTATTCCTGACCTCTACGCTTCAGTCAGGAGTTGAGACGTGTCTCGAGGTTTTCACGGGGATCCTGGAGCCTCTTTCTTGCCATGGAGGAACCACTTCCAGCCCTTTGGCCTCATCTCATGCAGACGGCTACCTTTGCTCCAGTGTCCGCTTCGTGACGATTCCCCATCTTCGCGAGGTTGTTGAGACGGCTGGAGACATAGGCGAGTCTCTGCCTGTTGTCTTGAAGAAAACAAAAAACCTTCGGGTGCAAAACGGGTTTCAGAGAGATGTGTTCGATTGTATTGTGGCAAATTACGGAATGTGGTGGAAAAAGCAGCAGCTGGGGGCTCTAGGAACCCCAAGGCCCCACGGGTTTCCAGGGGGCCCCCGCCCATCAGGCTCACTCGATGTTGCTGTAGACACGGGGTTTCCCGGAGGCCGCTCTGTTGGGGGCCCTGTGGAGGCGCAGTTGGCAGCCCTGGAAGCTGCCGTTGGGGGCAAGAGCGTGGACACGGCAGCGCTGAAGTTTATGGAAGATTTGGATCGTCTGTCTTACCCTAAGGGATTTCAGTGCTCGCGACGGCTCGACAATCTGGTGCGTACATTTTCGTTCCTGAAAGAGTCAGCGCGGCAGGAGCCCTCTGTGCAGCGGGCAGTGTGGGCCATGCCAGAGGAAATGGAGAGTGACTACGTAGAGTCCGACGGAAGCGTGTTGCGCAGAGGCCTCTCGCTGCTGCGTTCACTGTGTGCTGTCCAAACGGCCTCCCGTTTCCTGCTCACGTCTCATCCTAAATTTGTAGAAAGGCTCACAGGCCAGCCTATGGACAACGGAGAGCTCATGGCTTTCACCTTGGATTGTTCTGCGCTGTCAAAGAGCCTCCAAGAGGCAGGTTTCATTCCTTGGGAGGAACATATGCAGCACAAAGCCTAATGCGTACACATACACGCATCCTTACGGATCCCATATGCATATAACGGTGACTGCATGCGCCAACAGAAGCAGCTCGGGAAGCCCCCAACAAGGAACCAGCCAACAGAACAAGCGCTAGGACACCTTTAAGGAAGTAGCGAGGCCATTTGCGGGCCACAAGCTGTTCTGTGGGGCGGAATATGGGTTTGTAGAAGGAATGTGGGGCTTCCAGAGGGCCTTCAGTTTACAGAGCAGACGCGCAGAGCAAGGCGGCTGCTGAAGAGGCCGTAGCAACTGAGGGTGGCGCCTTGGGGCAGCGGCCCGAGCTACGGTGGCTGCACGCAATCCGAGGCACTGCTGGGTATTACTGCATGTTTGTTTGGGCCTTGTAATGGCTGAGTAGCCAAGAGGCCTCTTCAAATGGGGCTTTAAGTCGCTGGGTTAGAGCCAACGTGCCTAACTGAGGCGTACGTACAAATGGTAGACCTCCGCCTGTGAAAGTGCAGGAGTTGTGATGTCTGCGTCTGTGTGTGGACCTGTTTTTTCACAATGCATGCTGTCTTCCTGTGTATGTGTCTGTCATCTGCCTTCTTGGGTGTTTGTTGGATTTTATGCCCACTCTGATTGTGCGTTGCCCATGTGTTTCGGCTAAGTGTTTCCTATTGTTTGAATACGTACGCAGTCAGGCAACAACCCCCGAAGGCGCAGCCGTGTGGGTTCCATATGGCTGTCTCCTATATGTTACATCATTCGAGGCTCCCCATAAGCTGCCTGAAACGCGAACCAAGGTGTTTATGGACCGGGGAAACCAATTTGTAAATGGACCACATCATTTTGTTTAGTAGCCGTTGAACAGAATACCTCATTGCACTGACTTGTCAGAATATCATGTATTGTCAGAGGCAAGTTGAGCCAAGCGGGCAAGAAGCTTAGCGCAGCGCTTTTGTTTCTCAATTTTTGTAGGCATGCGGAAGTCCGCTTAGCGCAGCGCTTTTGTTTCTCAATTTTTGTAGGCATGCGGAAGTCCGCATAGCCGCACGCGCGCCTGCACTGCGCAAAGCGCGTACTCTCAGGAACTGAAGTGTTTATGAGTTGTGTGCACATAGCTGGAACTCACTAGATAAAGCATACATAGCTGGAAGTGACTGGGTGTGGCAGCACTCTCAGTAGGACATGAGACAGGATCCTCTCCTCTTACTGTAGCTAGCTACTGCAGGCTACACAAATAGTAGTATTCGCATGGTGCTTGTTGCCTGCGCTGTAGTCGCAGTGTTGCTATAGGCCGCTGCTGCTGGTGAAACGTGGCTGCTGCTAACCAGCCGAACACCACACAATATGCCGGGCCAGGCCAACACCTTGCAGAGTCTTTCACACGGCTGGATGCAGCGCGGGCTCTGGTGGGGGTGCTGTTAGGGTACGCCGGGTACGCCAAAGGGTATCGTACAGACAGCGTCGGGTGTCACGATAGTATGACAAGCGCCGTTAGGTGTTCCCCCACTCCCCTGAGCAGCAAACTAAAATGGCTCTTAGTCTGGTTAGAATGCACGGGTCTTAATTTGCTGACATGAATCTCGCCCGCTGAGGGTTCCTCTTCAGCTGTTCATTTGGTCCCTTGACCAATTGGTCCAGTTACGAGTTTCTCATTGGCATTGCATCCCCTCCGTCGAATAGCAAAAATGCCCGCTTCTTTAGTAGACGTCGCGCGCAGCACTACAATGCAGCCCAGAAATGGCCTTTAGGATTATACAATCCGGAATCTGTAGATAAATTTCATAAATATTAGTCAGGATCATACAAAGAAAATTAAGCATCTTGCAATCAGGGCCAGCTGGCAAGAGCCTTAGCTCAGTACAGGAGGTCTCCACAAGACTACGCGCCAATCAGCACCACCACGCACTACCACTTGCGCACTTGGTGTACTTTGTGCAATGTTGGGCTGCATGCGCGTCACCGCAGTTGCTGTCTTACGGAGAGGTTCCGTCTCACTATCGACTGCCTGACAAATTGAGCCAGTTGAGGCGTCTTGTGTCCTTGCCATCCTTCTTGTGCCCTTGCCATTCAACTGAAAGGCAGTGCAACCACGCTGTGATCGTGCGTTGACGGCAACATTTCCCTGTGCTAGCTAGCCATAACTGCATTTGGCTTTCTGTTCACAATGCCAATCTCTACCAAGACATTGGTGTACTTCAGTGCGAACTACGGCAAGAAGTTTTAAGGAGGGGCTCGGCTGGAGCTCTATAAACCTCTTCTCGCTCTTCGTGCATGGGAGCAAGGCGGTTGCGAAATGGAACAGAATCACTATACAAATATGTCTAGTGCATGCAAGACATAACTCCATAATTCTGGCCCCAAATTTCGCCGGGAGGGATCGAATTGGGAGAACTGCGGACCTAGCCATATAGTAGTGCCAGTAAGTTGGTTGCTACCGCTACTGCTGCTGCCATCACACTGTGGGGTATTTATGCTTGTGCTCTGAACAGCAGCCAAGAGAAAGTCCAAGGTCAAGCCAGGCTCCTCTGCAAGACTTTGGGGCAGCCAGAGCTCCGAATTAAGTGCACCGACTGTACAGCGTCATGGACCACATATGTGCGTAGATTGGCCTCTTTCGAGATGAGGAAAGAACCGACCTTCAAGGATCTTAGCTGAATCTAGTAGCCAACGCAGAGATATTTCGCATAGTAAAGGGCAGTGCATTTAGTGTCCCGGAAGAGTGTTCGTAACGAACATATATTGCAGTGACCAACAGTATCTCTTGAGCCATGCCGCGAAATATTTGGCAGCCAGACTGACGTGCCGGAAAGAAGTGAATATATGTTTAACTACTTCATGGCCGAGCTTCATGCCTTTACAGACCAACGCTCTCTAGGCCTGCGTACTCAGAAGTACAAAGATATCTTCGCCACTCTGGCTCACATTTTATCTTATATGTGAGTCCAAGCAGCGTGATAACTGTCATGAATGCGTGCTCAGCGCGACCTTTACTTGAATTTAGGACGAAACTGCCCGTTATTAATCCCACAAGGAAGGTATCCAGTTTGAGGCTGCTTCCAAAGCAGTGATACGGCTGGAATTTTGAATCTTTTCGCGATTCCTTTCTTGGTGGAACCAGAATCCATATATTACTATTTGTTCTCACATCCACGGTCGGCCAAGATCCCACTAACTGAACAGCTGGCACAACAATCTTCATTTGAGCTAGCTTTTCTACGGGCGCGCTAGTCGCCGGATGTTTGGTACTTTTCCTCCATTTCTTCTCCCAAAGCCTCTGGTCATCGTACACCAGTCCATGGGCAACATGCCCATTGCCCTGATTGGTGGAACGGAACTGAGATTTATTGAAGTGCCTCTCCAGATAGCTCATTACCTCAACCGCGGGAGTCGACGAAAAGAACACGAAACACGAAGGGGCGTCTGGAGCATAATTATGCTGCAACGTAGCAGTAGGAAGCAGGAAATTTATCCTTTCCCATGTTTCCTAACGAGCATAGAAATGTCCCACTTCAGAGAGCACATGTAGTCCTCGACAGGTCAACTGTACCGGCCAGTGAGTGGCTTGTACGAACTCCGCACGCGCTTGCCCACACGTTACATAAAGCTTCTTCTCAATAATATGAATACAATATTGTACACAATTCTACATCTCTCGTTTCATGTAGTTCAAGGTAGTGTTCTCAGCAGACGCCCACGGAGGTAGCTTTAGTAACTCTCCTCCCCCTACAGCGAATTGCCTTCTTTTACGAGGCATCAATAATCAGTTTTCTCAATTACATTTAGAGGGAAATGCGAGGAAGGCATACCCGACTAAACCAACACTTATTGAAGCTACGTTTTGAGGGCATAGTTCACTTCCGTACGAACTGAGCGTGTCTTCTCTGGAGCCTTGGAGACTCTATACATGCTGAAGCTTTCCGTTCGCTTCTCCCACCATTCCGACTACAAGGCATACATAGAGATGTATCATATAGGACTTACTTGATCCAAAATAAAAGTGGGCTGATTTTGCCAACATTCACATCAGGCTGTTCCGGCAGCTCTCTCGAGATAAAAGAAGCAAGCAAACTGGGGACAAAACGAGCCCAACGAACTTTTCATGAGTAGTTGCATGCGTGTGTGCAACGGCACATGCGTTTGTGCATGTATGAACAGCTGCAGAGCGCTGCATGCGTCTAAAGCTGGCCCGCGCCAACATAATGAAGAAGTGAGGCACAGGCAATGTTCGCATTGTTGGAAACAGCCAACGGCTTAAAATGAAGACACGCATTGTTGGAAACAGCCAATGGCTTAAAATGAAGACAGGAGATCTCACAATATGAGCGTGGCTGTGTGTGTTTGTGTCCGTTTCAAATAAGAAAGTCTATGCAAAGCTACATAAAGGACAGCCTGGGCCAAAGAGAAGCCCAGTGGAACGGGGGCCCCAATGCTGGCAGCAAAATATGCGCACTGAGCATTGGTTCATGCCCTCCCCCAAGAAAAAGGAACTGCTGCTGCGGCAGTCGTCCGTGGAGTAACGAAGGCATGCAGCATCCCCCAAGTTCTAATTTGGGACCCCTTTGAGTTGCAGCAGCTGATGAGACACCAACAGTTTGGCAACTCTACGAGCAGCATCAGCAGCCTCGAAAGGGGACGTCCACCGGCCTGTACAAAATAAGGGATCCCACAAAAACAGCAAATAGATTTTGGCTAAAAGACAAAAGCAGCAAATATATTTTGGCTCATCGTAGTTTCCCGAGACTAACCAGCTCGAAGCACAATGCACCCCAAAAATTGTACTGTGGAACAGGAAGGCGCTTTCCACTTGCAGACGGCGTGCTGCCGTTCCTCCAAAACTAAACCAGCAGGGCTTTTCTGCTGGAGCTTCTGGCTCCATTCTGTGTGTCTCCGATTCAGCAGAAATGAAACATGATGACGCCAGAGTTGAGTTTAATACCAGTCTAAAGGAGACTAGTGGTACACGAATAATGTAAAAACATGTGCTTGTGTATCTATTTTGGGGCCTTCTTGCCTCTTTACTCACCCACACTTATGCGCAGAGAGCCCACTGCCCACTCATCGAGATGGCCCATAGCCAACAAAGTCCCTGACGCCGTCTTGCACTCGTGGCAGCTCACCCCAGCCGAGACAAACAGCCGTTCTTCTTCCTGCAGAAGTGAATGCAGAAGTGCATGCAGGCGCAGTTGTAGTCATGGGTCACCAAGCCATGCTGTGACGGCTCACGCCAGCAATCAAACACCCATTCTGAGAAAAGGCAGAAAATCAGGGCGGCCCAGACTGAGGCATGCATGCGCGCGTGGCTGCAAAAGCTTATTTTTTGCATGCACGGATGTATGCATTCAACGGAATAGCCATTCGGAGCCCTGAACTGAGCAAGGCTCTTGGGCGGCTCTCACAGAAAGCGCATTTGCTATTTCAAAGCCACTCGCGCCCCAAATCGATATGTGAATAGTCCCCGGCAGCCACTGCTGCTGCACTTGTGCGTCGGCTGCCCCAAGAGGGCCATTGAAACGCACAGCAGCAGCAACTGCAGCAACCACACACATGCAACACACAGCCACGGCCTTCAAAACTACACGCGAAGTTACCGACTCACAGGATACTGTGCTACACAGAGTCGCTCCCCTCCTGTATGGGCCTTGTGCTACATCTAGTTAAAGTGGATACAGCTGAAACTTACGTAGCTGCCTGCTGCTTTTTGTGTCCTGCTCCAAAGTCGCCCAAAAAGCCTCCACGAATACTTTGGCGGTGAAGGCAAGCTTGCTCGGGTGGGGAGGATGGGCCGCGAGGGCCCCTGTCTCCTTGGTTTGGTTTGCTTCTGAACTGTCCAGCTCGTTGCTGGAGGCTGCTGCGGCAGCGGCAGCTATTTGCTGCTGTGTGCAGGGCCACTCAGGTGCCGCCCAGCTCTTCTGCACCAACTCAAGGGCCCTGGCGAGGCCCACAATGTAGGCAACGTTCTCTGTCCCCTTAATACAAGCAAACAGGCCTAGAAACTTAAGCGTTGTGCCCGCAAATAGACCACTGGTCATCTCAAGGCTCAGTAAGGCAGAAATACTGTGTGGGGGCTCATGCCAGCGCTAGTCCCTGCAGTAACTTAAAGCGTGCATCTTAAGACAAGCCTATCACCATGATTCCTCTAAGCTAACGTGTAGGCACTAAGCCTCCAGACTGGGAATGCTGCTCACCCCCCTAAGGCCGCTTTCTTGACCGCCACCAAGAATCAAGGGGGGCAGATTGATGCCTTCCCGAATGTACAGAGCCCCAACTCCCTTCGGTGCGTAGACTTTGTGGCCCGCAACTGAAAAGCACAGCCGAAAGGCGCAAAATACCCACATATTTAATACTGGATACTGTGACTGTAGCCAATGAGAGCATACGGTGTGGAAAGTATGTTTTGTTTTGTGAAACAAAGTACATATTTCGGAACGAAAGTAAGATTGCGATTCAAACAGTGCAAGGCAGAGCTACAACAACTGGAAATGAAGTGAGTGCAAGGCACAAAAGCTGCAAGAGAAGCGTGTTTCAGAAAGGGAAGGGGAAAAAACACAAACATTAAATCCGTGCAATGCATGCATTCTCCACCCCACGACACCAGGTAAGGCCAGGCTTTACACGCGCAGCTCTGGCTGCGAAAACAAAGATGCAAACGGCCTGAAGGCCAGGCGCTAACAGGTACAAAGGCAAGTAAACAAAAGAGTGAATCAAAAGGAAGCACAAGGGGACAATAAAATAGAAAAGCGCATTCCAAATGGCAAATAAGACACAGAGAAACACGAGCAAAACGGGAGGCAAACTGCGGGGTTAGAGACTTGATGCATGAGCACAAGAAGGCTGCCTTCGGTCTTCTTGCATGCGTGTTTACAGTGAGAGGCAAGCAGCTGTGTCAGCTTCTAGCGTAGTCGATAGCGGCAAGACGGATACGGTGCTTTTAAGCTGCCGCTACTGCTGGTGAAGCTGCTGCCACTGCTGCTACAGCTGCAGCAGCATCAGCTGCTACTGCTGCTGCGTTGCGGATGTCCCTGCATACGCTACACTGGTGCTGTACCTCACCTGTTAAGAGGTCCACACCTAGGGAAACGGGCTGTACAGCCACCTTGCCCATGGCCTGCGACGCATCTGCATGGACGAGAGCATCTGGGCAAATCCGGCGGGCCACTGACACCACCTGCAAAGGGCCCCGCAGAGCAGCAGCAACGGCAGCAGCAACAGCAAAGTCAACCCAACGTATAATGCACACACTGGCCTACGGAGAACAGAAAAAGAGGTTATGAAACCTCAAACAGTTCCCCAGTCCTCGGCTGGTGCCTTCTTTTGCTTGACAGAAACCAGGTCACAATGCATCGCTGCAAGTACCCATTCATACAAGTACACAAGCACTCTTGAGACTAAGCAAACAAACAGTTAAAGATACAAGTACACATCTGCAGATAAATATAGTATAGGCATTTGCTCCCCGCTGCATACCTCTCGTATCGGCTGCACCACTCCAACCTCGCCGTTTGCAAGAGGGATGCTTATGAGAATTGTCTGTACACACAAAGCCACCCCGACTAGAGCCCCTGGGGCAGCCCCTCCCACAGAGAGCGTCTGAGGCCCCGCACGCCACATAACAGCTACAGTGCAGCAGCAGGAAGCGAGAAGCAGCAGAGCAGCCGCAGCAAACGAACCAGCGCTTGCAACAAAAGAAGCAGCAGCAGCAGCAGCAGCAGCAAACAGAAGCGATAGTGGCAGCACATGACTTTGACTGGATGCGTGACCCACTCACATCAGCAGTAAGAAGAGCCTTAAAGGCCCCAAGGTCTATGAGGCCCGAAGAGAGGACTGGACACAGAATCAGCTCAAAGCCCTCTTCATCCTGCAGCGCAGCAGTTCGCAGTTGAACAAAACGGTGGTCGTCCAGCTGCACGGCAAGCCTCTAGTGCCGAATGTGAGGCTGCTGCAGCTGCTGCTGCTGCTGCTGGCCTTGGCTCGCGAGGCCGGAAAGCTTTACTAGGGGCCCCCAACTCAACAGTAGGGGCTGAATCTGGGGACATCAACTGGACAAGGGCCTCCCTTGGGGTCGCCTGGGGCCCACTTTGCGAAGGCCCTAGCCGGGGGCAAGGGGAATGACATGGCCCGAATAGCTAACAGACTACAGAGGGCCTTTTGGGGGCCCCTTAGGGGCCCCCGTTAAACTACAGCTTAAAGGCAATACTGACGGAGGGAGGCACGGGAAGGCTAGGGGACCCAAGGCCAGCTTAGGGGCCCCTCTGAGGACCCCCAAGCTGGCCCTGGGGTGTTTAAAATACCCTTAAAAAGGAACAAAATGAAATGAAGGGAAGAATAAAGTACTGACGCGGAGGTACTCGCAGACGCGCAGGACTGCCGGGTGCTCCATAGCACAGGTCACTATGCGGCCCGGCGAGGGCCCCTTGAGCCTCTTAAGTTTGGCCCCTGATTTCAGTGCCCAGTTAATGCTTTCTGCACCATTAAGTCACAAAAAACCAGCAGCACAGCAGCTTTTTTAAAGAGTTGCATAAAAGCTGGGGCCCCCGCTGCACCGCGCACACCCAGCTACGTTCTCGGGCCACCCACAGTGCTGCTGTGGGGGCCCCCGCTGCTGCAGCG